TTGGGATATTGAACTTGAGTCCTTACGATGCATGCTTGGAGAAGGTATGCCTGAAATGGGGGCCCCGCTCTGAACGAGACGTTCGGACCCTATCCGTCTCCACAAAGTTGGACCATTCAGCCTACTCAGAGAAGCTTTGTGCTTTCACTCTCATGGAGGACATTTATGCCAACACTTGTTCAAACCAAAGGTTTATAAAGTTCCTTGACCTGTTTACATGGTAAGAATATTCCATCTAAAAAGGTGTTTCTTCCAATGGAAACCAGGCACCTTCCCTCCCCCAAACCTGCCACATTGAATTTTGGACAGGACTGGAAGAAGAATGGTACATTGCTTGGAGAGAAAGTGCGGCCTTACGATCCGACGCCTCCCCCTGCTGCGAGTGTGGATTTGGACCTGTACCCCCTGAAGGTTGCAGAGATCTCTAAGGACCCATCCAAAAAAGGTTGGGTCAAGTACCGGATTTCTTTGAGCAACGAGGTGAGGGGCCGTTACCTCAGTGACGTGGTCCATGCTCCAAGCTGGAAACAATTGGTGGGTGACTTCGATGCAAAGTATCCTGGACTTATTCTTTATAAGCATCAAACTAAGTTTTTCGCTTTCGATTCAAGACTCGCCCCATCATCCCAATAATTCCGAAAATGTGGTAGATACAATAGCTAAGGGGCGAGGACACTTTGTGACCACCCAGGAAGCTTTCGGTGGAAACCAGGTGAGTCCCTTTCCCCCTTCTGAAACCTGTTCATTCGAATCAGGTTTTGCGGCAACATGGCTCCAGTCACTTCAGAACAAATCGTGCCTGCTGAAGAGGAAGAGGAGCTTCCACCATCCTGGGCCTCAGAGCCAGAGGATTTGGACACTCTCATGAATGAACACATTTTGGAATGCAAGGTCCCAGGGCGGGCGCCAGGCACCACTTTGATGGTTGTTGAGGCTAAAAAGCGAGATGGATCAGTCATGGAGATCATTGATGGACAACGACACAAACTTTTTCTTGCATCTTGCCACAACAAATATCAACACATCATTTTTACTTTGGTACCTGTTTTGTTTCCTCTAAAATGAATTGCTTGCATTTGCGTGTTCCTCCAGAGGTGGCCCACCAAGAGCTGGAGATTTCGGATAAGGAGTTCCTCATCGCTCATGGCAAATCAGCCTGGATTTCCCAAGAGAAGGTTCAGAAATGGCAACGGGAAGCTACAGGTCAAGGCTTGGGAGGGGTGTTCTCAAGCTTCAGAGTTTGTAAATTGGATGAGTGTACTATTGAAGTACTATGCGTTGTGCAGACTAAAGGCAATGTTTCGGCAGAATCAGAAACAGTTGCATTTATATAGCTTGCAACCTGGAAGTTTGCCTCAGCCGATTGCAATCTCACTGGGGATCGCTCAGAGTGGTTCCTAGAGGTGTTGTGCCTAGATCAATCTTGGCAACCCTAGCATCCATGTCGTCCCTCAATGAAGTTTTGGCCCAGCATGGATTCAAGCAGGACACTGTTTCTTGGGTGTTGTCATGTTCAAGGTCTCTTGGATCCTGAAATATCGAACATCAACAGCTGACAAATATATATTATATTATATTATATTATATAGTGTTCAAATCTTGCAGGATTTGAGCGTCATGTGTGACAACAGTCCTGGAGCATTGGAAACTCCTACACCCAGGGCTGTCAAAGACTTAGAATCAACAGTTTACCATCATCCCTTTCACTCTCCCTTTTCCCTCTTGGTCAGTCTTAAGGCTACAGCGAGCCCGCTTGGAGAGTCTACAAAATCCAACGTGAAGCTGCCCATGCAAACTACCACACCTGGGAGTAAGACCACTCAGGCAAAGCTGAGCCCAGAACAGGTAGTGAATCTCAAAGCGGAGGTCGAAGATGCCTTGAATGATGCTGGCAAGAAGTTCAAGACCAACAAGGTTGTCCAAAGTGCTCGCTGCACAAACAACAACCAAGGGAAGGAAGTCGAGAAGACAAAGAAGGATACTGAGAAGTCAAGCTTTCGCAAAGCCCTTGAAAGAATCTCAGCTATTGAACCCAAAAAGACAACCAAGGCGGGGCTCAGCAATTGACTCTGAAATGTTCTAATCTTCAGTTGATTCATATGGATTCCACAGTAATATCTGTTTCGATGCCTTCAACTCCCTGGCTTCGAAGGCGCAGAAGCCTAAAGCTAAAGCAGCTTCAAAGGCTAAGGCCAAAGCAAAGGCTAAGGCCGCTGTGAAGAGCAAAGCAAAGGCTAAGGCCTCTGCGAAGAGCAAAGCAAAGGCCTCTCCAAAGGCCTCAGGGTTCAACCGTTTTGTGGGTGGTTGAGCAATGCTGAACAAAAGCTCAAGTTATGGGCCCCATGTCTCAACACAGTAGACGTGTCCCCTTCTCTTGACTACATTTCCCACATATCAAAGGAAGAACCTGACTTTTGGGGCTGCAATCACTTGGTTGTGAAACAGGTTTGTGTCTCTTGTCAGGAGGAAGAGGAGGACAATGAGTTGGATAGCGATGAGGGATTGGGGGAGCAGGAGGAAGCGGAGGAGGAAGAAGAAGAAGAAGAACGTGATGATGATTCGAGTGAGACATTGGTACTTGGACAGGAGCAGGTTGACAAGAAGGACAAGAAGCGAAAGAGGGATGATGACAAGTCCACGGACGAGAAACCGGATGCTGGTGAGACAGCGGCAGCTCCTAACCTACGGTCTCTTTATTGGCAGGTTGTGCATGAGGCTCAGAAGATGATCAAGAAGGAAAACCCAAAGATGAAGCCAAAAGAGGTTTTGAGCAAAGCCCGAGCTGTGCACCTTATCTGTAACATATTGGTGATGTCACAAGCAACCCATTCAATGAAAATGATCCGAATTGCATCAGTTGTGGGCCTTGGGTTCTTCCTCAGTTGTCCCAGGGTCCCAGGGTGTATGCATAGTAGCATGTATTGAGGTGGGAATCCCATCCAGCGCGCATGAACGCCATGAAGAACATGAGCAAGAGCGAGCTTGCCCGTCGCCATTTGAGCACTGATGGTCAGCCGAAGCCCCGTAAGTCTCGGACTGCGGCAAAAGGCAATCAGATCAAGTCCGGCAAGGGGCCTGACGCTGAAGAGCCAGAAGAGTAGATGCACCGCTTTGGTACATATTTAGAACAATCCCTGGTGGATCTTTTGGGAAAAATTCATTCCCTAGAGTCCTTAGATTTGGACACTTGGATATAGTGTTGTGTAGATCGTGTCATGCCAATCCTATGGGGAAGCCTGCTGCAGAGATTATTGCAGAAGCTTCGGGGAGGGACTGGTGTGGCGAAGAGCGAGTGAAAAAGATTACCACTTGGTTTCAATGCAGTTTGACAGGTACCACAACCCCTTGGCAGGAATGAGTGGTATATAAAGGTCATTTACACCTGGACCTGTAGCTGGTAGCTTTGTGTCACACTTATGTTCTGCAGGTGACCCATTGGCCTTCGTCATCTTTTGCCGATGGACCAGTGATCTTTGCAACGTCGTGTTGGAGATCCCCTCTGAAAGTTCCAAGGCATGCAGCGACGCAGAACCAACAACGATCAGATCCCTCATGAGGGAAATGGAAGAAGAAGGATTTGTTGACACTGGTCTTCATGGGCACAAGTGCGAAAGACCAGGAGCACATGATCGGGGTGGAACCTTGGAACAAAAAATGACAAGCACCAGCTACAAGCTGAAATACTTGTGGTTTGAAATTGAATCAGATATTCTCAATGATATGTTGTTGCACATTTCATCTTAGATGAAGATTTCTTCGTCGTGAAACCGGAGTCGGTCGTCCCAATCTTCCACTACACGCCTGGCTTCTCAAGTGCAAAGTTCTCCACCATTGCCGGAGGATTCACTGCTGAAGCAACCCGTTCGAAAAAAGCTTACTTTACTAAGACTATCCTTAAGCCTATCAATCCTATCCTGCAGATGTTCTATCAATATTTTTTGCTAGGGGTATATATTGGACAATCGAACAAATATCCAAGGTGTTGAGCGCAAGCCGAACATTGGCTCGCTATTGGCGTGTAGCTTTTCTGAAGGCTGAGAAGGACAAAGACCTGTGTCATGTTCTAGCATCCTTCATTGATGCCAATGGATTCCATGCAATTGTGACTTCAGGAGATAACGCCAAGATGCTGGGCCATGTATACTTTGCTGAACTCATTCAGGGAAGTGTTTGGCAGTATACAATGATTATGTTGACTGGTAGGAGCTTGTTGTCCCCAAGGAAAGCCACTATATTATCTTCGCAAGCCGATCTCAATGAAGCCGAACCAAGTTCTGAGATTGGTCTGATCTGACCTTGTGGGTTGGAGCATTCTTGAGTGGAATGCTAAGTGGGGGAAAGGCCTATTTGAGGGATGATGTGGCTCACCAGCCCAAGTGCAAAAATAGATCATGAAAGTATTGGTTACTACAGATCATGTTCTAATTGGATGCTAGTAATTTAATGTTCTTTGTTCTGCTGTGAGCACGTCACCTCGTCTTCGGCCTGCAGTTTGACAACTACCAAGGTGCGAACGAGTGGAAAACAATTGGGTCTGGGACTGGGACATGGTTGGGACATGGTGTGCAACAACTTTGATGAACCATCTGCACGAACAACAAACATGAGATAGATCAAGAAGGGAGATGAGATAGAAAGGAAACATCATGAGGATCGAATAAAATCAAATGAGGATCGATTACAATGAAATATACTTATATGATATATATGATATATATGGCAGTCCCATGGAGTGTTTGGGTATAAGCCCATTTGTTTGGTCCCGAGACATGGACATACACTGCTTGTGTCTCAAAAAATGTATTTGTATCATATTATGTCTCAAAGAAGACTTGACCGATGTCTCAGTACCTGGTTCTTCGGTACCTTTTCGCACACCGGATCCATCACGAAGCGCTTCTGGGATCCATCACGAAGCAAGTCCGGACGGATCATGGACGCCTTTCACTCCCCAACCTACTTCCCAGCCTACATGATCCTGAGAAAAAAACACCGCCTAGGCTCTTTTGGGTGGCACCAGCCGAGGCTTTGCATGGGGTGAGTAAAATGTGGAAGTCGGACTTGGCATTCGTTAAGACAAAGGAAACATGGCCTAATCTATCGTCATGCATTTTAAGTATATATTATAGTAGTATGTGCAGTATGTTCAATTGACAGGCTCAAACGGTGCGAGCGGGGCAAGCCAGACCTACCGTGATGCCCGAACGAAACATAGGCAATCGGTGCACCCATCGGGTTTGTAGATGAACGCTAAGCACGTTCCTGGTCTTCCCACAAGCGATGACCGTTCGACCGTTTGATTCTTTTAGTTGGTTCGGATAGAGACGTGGGAGACGTGGGAGACCAGGGAGACCTGACAGTTGAACGAGTTCGTCCAGTTCGTCCATGGATATTAGGTCCATTTGTCCATTTGATACAGATCTCAATTTCCATCCTGAGCACGGGTCGGAGATCCGGCAGGTCGTTGGCGAGCCGCCCCATGGGCGAGGCGCAGTGCCTGTGACTTCGAAACACTCGCGGTGCCAAAGAAAAGGTTGCTACCAGGGTGTCTATAAATAGCCTCTTAGAGGTTAAGAGGTGGCCAAAAACCACCTGTTGGAAGGTCCTGGTAGATGTTGCTAGTTTGGACAGCTGGCAGGTCGGTTGCAGATGTCCTTATCGCTGCCAATCATCAACATCAAGACTTCGGTCATGCCAAACAAACCATTGCCAAGAACCGTTGACTAGGAAGACTTGTGTGTTCGCTTTTTTCAGTGCTCTCCGTGGAGAGCTCTCACCCTTGGTCCAAGGCCGAGGCCATCAGACCTTGCAAGCTCGGTGTCCAAGGCGATGTAGACATGCAACAGAAGAGCGTCTCATTTGGACAGGATGTTTTCTCATGTTTTCTCCCAACTCATTTTTGGGACCTTCTTGAGTAGCAGATTGATTTGACCAGAAGCTTCCAAGCTTGGATATGTTGTTGGGTCTGAAGCTGCAGGGGCCGGACGCTCGCTGCAGATCGGTAGGTGCGACATGTTGGTTGCTGTTAAGGATCGATCCGTGTCGCACCGAGTATGAGGAACAAGCTTTGAGTGCACCCTGGGTGATTTGTTCCGAGCTCTGAGGTGCCAGGCTTTGATCCGGTTCAAGTTCCACTGTTGGGTGGCGAAGCTCAGAACTCATCGGAGCAGGAAGCCATATTCCAAGCAGCCAACTGTCCTGAGATCCCTCAAGCTAGGTTATCCAGGAGAATGCAGATTAATGAGGCTGTGAGCCTTTCAAACGATCCACCCTTCGCTTGGACGAATTCCTGTGGTTCCCCCCTTCGTTGACCGTGTACAGCTGGCTGTCTAGGGCTGTTTCCTTGGCCCAAATCCACGAGGCAATTATCAGAGGTCCAATGCTGCGCTGGCACTTGTTCGGGCTGCCCAGATGCATCCAGGTCCTTTCTACCACGGGATCGTGGGATGGAAGCAAGATGTGCTGTGAAAATTTTCTGGCAGAAGCGAAGTAGTGGGTGCAAGATGGAGGCACAGGAGTTCCAGTATCAGAATCATTCATTCTATTATCAGCTTCACATGGTGTTTGGCTGATGGGGTGATCGTCCAAGCGTCGTCCCACAGATGCGGCCCGCCGAAGACCGAAGAAAGGCCATGCTGGTGGAGCTTCGGGCCACGAAGCTGCCATTGAGAAGCCTGTTGCTGAGGTTCACGAGGGGGTGAGTCATCGGGCCACATCACCTGAATTGAGAATTCACAGTTCAGTCACCACTTTCTAGATAGTATATAAATGACACATCTACTGCATGTTTGTCGCTAACGTTCCTGGTTCAAAGCCACAATTTGTATACATTTGTGCCGTTCTGATTCTGAAAACCCGTGTTTGATCCCGAACCGAACATCTTGAAACCTGTTGAACCAGCTGAAAGCGATGGAACGGTTTGGCTCAGGTTGTGCCAAGATCTTGGACGACCACCAGCTCGACAACAGTTCCAGCCCAAGAACTGTCTTAGACTGGCAGATGACGGTAGAGTGTGAGCTCAGGCATCATCCTGGAAGGCATGGCCAAGACCAGATGGTGCGACCCCTAGGGGTGTGCCGGTCTGGCCACTGCGACGGGTTCGCTGCGCCCAAGTGCTTTGCGATTTCGCCGGCAAAGATACACCTGTTGCATGTATTGAAAGCCACCAAGCATGTGTAACATGATGCCAGGAAACTGAGGAAGTAGGAGTTCAACAGGACTGGTTCAATGAGTGGTCAACATGCTCTCCATATGAAAACAATTTGTTCCTCAGTGCCTTCAAAAGACCCCTCGTCCAAGGCCGGGACGCTTGGATTGGATCCACCTGGATGGGAGGCCGGTGTTGCTGGACGGTGCTCACAACCCACACGCAGCCGCGGAGTTGGCCCGTGCCTGGGCACGAAGGAAGGCGCGAGGGAGCTTTCCGCCAGGCTGGAGGATGGGCCCAGTGATGTGTTGGAAGTCTTAGAGCTAAGATGTTTAAGATGTCCATTGATTTCCAGCGAAGAAATGCAGAGAGTTTCTAAGGGTCCTTTGGTTCAATTCAATTTTCATGTAGGGTTCGAGATCGTGTGCTGGGTTTTGGACGTGATGTGACGTTTGTCGCTGCGGTCTCGAGCAACAAGGGTTAGATCACGTATTCTTTGTCACCGGAGGGGGCAAGTGATGGCCTCCAATCTTCTTAAAGCCAAATGCTGGCCATATTCAGACATACTCTTTTATCAGAACATCAGTGTTTTGCAAAGTCAATGAAAGACCAACTGATCTTGAATTAGACAAGGCTGGATGGGTCATGATAGGACTCCAGAAGTGAGAGAATCTTGGATGTTCAGCCACATTCTGAACACCTACTTATTTGTAGAGGTATTGGGCCACAGCCCCCCAGTATGTAATGTACAATCTAATGTATGGGTGGATGGGTGGGTGGATTGTATATATATATAATATATATATATGTATAATATTAATATATGTATATGTGTGTGTGTGTCCGTGCTGCTTTGACACCCGGACCGGGCGAGACTTGTACCATCAAGACACATGACCGAGGCTACGTCGACCAAACGGTGCGGCCCAAAGCAGTACTTTGGGCCAGGGGGCCCCAGTGCGTCGACCAGGGCTTCCATGGTCAAAAGTGGTCGGTATACCACAGGCCGACAGTGATGTTCCGTGGGCCGCGTGACGCGTATATTTTGTTGTGCTTTCACGTTCAAGTTGCTGCAAGACTTGTTGAATTGAACAGTCCATCCACAGCGCTCCGTAGGCTGAGTAGGCAGTAGGCCAAATCCGCTTGCTTGCTGGGACTGGCTCAAAGGATTTCAAAGGCCACACACCACATCATGGGACGGAAAAGCTCATGGCAGTGTTGAAATACATTTGTTTAAAGCGGTGCCCTCGAAAGAAGAAGGGATCTTCCTGAGAGACTTCTAGCTGCTGGATAGCCTTGAAGGGAATCGAGTCGTAGATCAGAAAGCTTGCTGTGGCTTCTAATCCCAAGAGGGTCCGGGAATCATAGCTGCCTACGAGCACTTGAGCTATAGCAGTCTGATGCGGCGAGACAACTACTCGCTTATAGCAACCTACCATGAGCCACAGCCAAGTTGGCTTATTTTGACGGCATCCACCAAGGTAGGGACACCATCGAAACCACCGCTGGAAGCTGCACAACCACTCATTTTCCCTCCATTTTCGCCGCCGGGCCGCGTGTCGGCTCAGCGCGGCTCATGGCGATCACGTCTCGATGTTCCCCTTTGAGACGAGCGACTCGACGACTCGAGATACGTCGCCCAACAGGTCCACCTGGTCCACATGTTTTCCGATTTTGGGTGCAGCTGGCTCTATGCACCGTCCACCGGAAGTGGTGATTTCAAGTTTCCCAAACAGACATGTTTTGGCGCACGCCCCAAGAGAGCACATCAAACAATCACAACCTCGCCGACCTACCTATTTCTCCAACGCATCTCAGGTCGGCCCCGGCATCTTGGCCATTGCTGTCCTCCTCGCTGTCCTCCCTCCAGCCTTCCAGGGAAGCTGGGCGCGCGCCTTGCGGGTCGCACGCGGCGCACGGCGGGAGTTGGAGGCTGAGGATTTCAGAGAGCTTCTGGAGCGGCCACAGGGGGCTGAAGACTTGCAGGACGAATTGGGAGGGGTGGAGCCAGTGGTGATGGGTTTGAATTCGGTTTGAAGGAGAAGATTGGGCTTGGAAGGGGAACTAGTGCGGGACGTTTCACCTTCCTTTTGCTGGTGGGTTGTAGGTGTTCCCATGTTCTTGGCCCAATGACTGGGGCTATGGTCACCACGGTGGACAAGAAGATGTTGTGATCAAGTTGTGGTCGCCGCGATAGGTAACCCAATCCAATGTGGGACGATTTGAGAAATAGCAGTCCAGCATGCCCTTCCATTTTTGGGCAGTCATATGAATTAGGAAGCGTCATGAAGCATCATTTCTATTTAGCTTCTAGCACTCCTTGCAATGATGCTTTGCACCCCTGGACACTGGAGGAGATATTGAAAGAGATGCTCTCAGATGAAGACCAACTGAAGGAATCCAATGAGACCTTCCAAAGTTTGGCAGCTGCACAGAGGGGTGAGGCCGTGGATCCACTGGCGCGGTTTCTCTCGGATCCTCAACAGGTTTGGGCCTGGATGCAATCCAGCGACAAGACGGAGCGACTAGCCGCCATGATGAACCGCACCTCGATTTGGGCGATTCATGTGTGGCTTTGTACTTCAATAGGGGAACCCCTCACCCTATTGTCATCTATTGTCCTTTTTTCCAGGTGGTCTGAACCGGGGTCCCATTTTTCTTAATACACACATTTGCCCTTGTTGGCTGACAGTCGGCTGACACCGTTTTAGTTTGAGTTGTGGGAGCTAAGAGGAGGGCCGCTTTGCCTTGTAAAGCTGGCATATGTCACAACAACAAATCACACAGCCTTTTACATTTTTTGGGGAAGTCTGGGAATCTGTGAGTTGGCTGATATTGGAGACAGGGCATTTGTTGGCTGTACTGTAGATCTTCGAGCTGGCAAGCCTGACAAACACCAGACACTGTGACTTTTGTTGGAAGGTGGCGACTTTGGTGGCTGCAGCTCACTGACTAACCTGATAGTTGCTGAGTGTTTGCCTTGCTGCAATGAAGATTTCCGCGATCGGGCCTCCTTCTATAGGGAAACAAGACCTTGAGCGCCTGAAAAGCGCCAGCAAGACAGTCATCCCAAACACTGGCCATATACTCCCAAGCTGGGTCAACCACCCCTTTGGACTCTCCCAGGCTCCCCGCTCTTCGAGAAGCTGCGGAAGTTCGGCGCCGAGGTCCTGGAGCGACGGCAGATGGCCACGCTGCCGCCCGGCGCGCTGGTGGAGATCAACGGCCTCAAGGCGCCGCGCTGAACAGCAGCTCACGATTCAACCACCCAGAAATCGAGTGCGTTCCTAGTTGAATCAGCATATGCCACCCGTTGAACTGCCAAACAGGATCACATGGGCATCTAAATTCAGCAGGAAGGCGTTCTTTCTGGTTTTAAGACTCTTTAAAAGACTTGGTGCCTTATATAGGCTTGTTCAAACAGGCATGTTAGATATGTTTCACTTCTTATGACTTCATGTAGGTTTGCTCCACGCTTTTGGGCACTCCGCGTGCGTTTGCATGTGCCTGCAGTTTTCCACAACAACAACTTGATTTCGCCGAAGCTGTTGAGAGCCGGTTGGAAGCCCGGTGGCTTCCCTGTGTTTTCAGCGTCGATGCAGGAGGCCTTGCACTTGAATGGCCTGGTGGGTGAGTTGGCTGAACCAACGCCCGCGGAGCAGGCGGAGAACGCCGAGCGGAGGATCGTGGCCCGGATCAAGCTTCCTATTGGTGGTCTTTTTGTTGGTGCACTGACTAGCGTTTAGGCAGCTGTGCCAAACAAGTAATAAACTACGTAAACTAAATCTTTACTCAATTGTCACAAGCCAAGGAGCTGCCAATATGACATGTTTAACATTTTTTGTTTCATCTTCCATCCCCGCCACCTCAACTTGAAGTCCTCCACTCTGGCGTGTGTGATCACCGCATCGCGGTCACGAGAACGTCGACGCTCGGAGAACGACGCGGTGTCTCTCCGAGGTCGACTTGGAGGATGCGCAGGGCCGTGTGGCGGTACATCCGAAGAATCTGGTCTTCCCGCGGCACAAGCCCGGGGATGCTGACGCTTGGCTTGTGGAGGGGGCATAAACAGGCTATATATATATATGCATATATATATATGTGCATATACATATATATATATATATTATGTGTGTGTTTTTGTTGCGGTGCTTGTGGCTTGTTGGTTTGGACCCTGAAAGAATATGCATGAAACACATTGTATAAAGCTATATATAGGCAAAGTGTCAGTGTTTTGATCATTCAAAGGCCAGGACCGGACCCCTCCTAGGTTGTTTGTTCCCAAAAAAGGTCCAAGGCCTGGTAGAGGCTCCCTCTCTGGTGGCGCCGGGGGCTATAGAAGGAGCTCTGACAGCCCAGGGGTGGCCGAACTCAGGTGCTTTTGGATGCCGAATTTCAGCCCGGCACCGAGCACGAGGGCCTTGAAGGTCGCGCAGCCGTGGTGTCCACGCTAACCGCAGAGGAGCGAACCATGGAGAAGCCCAGTGAATAGCCTGGCTGCGAACGAAAGGCGAACTGACATGTTGGGTTCTTGAGTCATTAGATTCAGAAGCTCGCATTGCACGGTTTTCATTGAACCCTCCCGTCGTATATAAATACATGTAGAATCATGTAGATACCGCCAGCCCATGGTTGCGAAGAAGCTTTGGCACTTGGTGTCACATGAGCTCCCTCACCCTTTGTTTTTCCGCTGTGCGATAGTTGATATCACTCACCCACTCAGTAGACTAAACAAAATCCTTCGGACTGGACACACACGCACGAAACTGGTGGTTTTGAGGAGCAGCAATTGGGCTTCGATGAGAACTCTGGGCGCTTGGTGGTCGATGTGCTGAGCTTATTACCAGGTGTGGGAGCCAATGCCAAGTGCTGTAGAAAAGAACAGCCGCGACATGCGCTGCACTTCTTTGACATCCTGACTAAGCCACTAAGCTCGAGTTGCAAGAGTGATGCGTCAGAATTGAATGGAGCTTGCGTGTGTTCGTCAGTTGTGGTGGAGAGTCATGCAGCTCCACGGATAAACACACTGACTTGCATTGGCGAATTAGCGTTGACTCGCCAAGTCTCCTAGAAATCGTCTGGACGGCTATGAAGTCAGGACATCGCTGTTAGGTTGGAGGCCAGCCCTGGAAACAAGACCTCCATGAATTCAGGGGGAGCAGTGGGACGTCTCCTTCTAGTTGATCTAGCCGTCAAAGCCATAGCCAAACACCATAGATATCACGGAGGCGAACATTTTGTCCTGGATCATCCGCCTTGCAGTGGGCCAGACTTTTCCTTTGACCGGTTGGGGTTCTTGCCAGGTGGCCCCATCCTAGAGCGTATCCTCATGTGGCCTGAGCATTTGCAGAGGCAGGGCAGGAAATCCACGCATCCACTGTTCTGAGTCATAGTTCGCGTGCAAAAGTGCTTTCTGGACGCTTCTTGGGCCACAGCCCAAGCAGGGCTTCCGATTCTGGCAGTTGGGTCTTTTTGTTTTGTTCACTCCCATCCTCTTAAGTGGACAACCATGTGCATCTATAGCTTTTTGTAGAAGCTCGGGTCGCATTTGCTGCCTATTGCATCGTGCTCTATGTATAATTAGACTAGACTTCATACTGTACTATAGACCTGTCAACAATTTGCTGCCTAAGCCTGTTGCGCATCAACTGTGGTTGTTCAAATTCCTTCCTTGAACGACTCTTTTGGCCATTTGGCGGCCAGGCGGCCATTCCAGCCTGGCGACGGCGTGACCTTGCGAGCCTTGCAGTCAGACGAAGGCCTCAACGGACGGCCCGGCATTGTGCAAGGTCCAGGCCGGCCGGATGGGGAGGATGAGGAGCCCGCAGACAGAGGCCCAAAAACATCCCGCAACAACCGGGTAGACTTTTGCTTCTGGTGTGGCCTACTGTATGTGCATCAAAACTATGCGGTTTTCCGCAGCATGACTGGGACTGTCCAGGAATGTGGCAGGGACACCTGTTAAAGAGAGACGTCTCAAGGTCCAGCTGATGTGGAGAAAAGTGAGAGCTTTGGACGGCCTGGACGTGATTTCCATCTTTCTGAGGCTCAGCGGCCTGGAAGTATTTGGTGATCTTGGAGGACGGACGTCTCCTGGATGTTCGCTGGAAGAACCTCCTTCTCACCAGCGCAATGACTTCAGTGCCGCAGATGGGGTAGAAAAAGAGCAGCACTGCAAGGCTTTAGCACTGCTGAGGGAAATATGCTGTTTGATATTTTGGATCTAGTGCCCAAACCTCGATGTAAGGCAATGACTATAATGACTATCACTATCAATGGTTTTTACAATGTTCCTACATGTTTGACCAGTTCATGTTATACATTATTGGATGGGCCAGCGAACGAGCACACTCGCGGCAGCTGAAATCTGGCACAAGGAGTTGCCACGATCGGCACAGCATGCGTAGGCAACAAAATCTGCGAAATATTTAATTATGTATTTTTCTCTCAGCTCAAAGAGAGATACTGTTCCGCATGTTTGACCACACGTCCTACTGTTCCGTGGCCCAGGTGGTTGCCCTGAGCTTCGGTAAGGACTGCTGGGCTGTTGATGCGACACCAGGCAGTGCTTGAAGATAGAGAGGGAGTTGAAATTTCAGGAGAGCAGGATTCCAGTGCAATATCATACAGCTGCACATGGTAGGATTTCTACAAATTGATGCAAATTTGCATGATGTTCAGCTTTGTGACTCTGTGCAACGTCAAGATTTGAGACGTGATCCATGGGGTCATGGGGTCATCATGGGTCGTTTGGGTGTCTTTGCAGAGCGCCATTTTATCTGAGAAGGATTGATCTCCCCGTGCAGATCTAGTTGATGACCGTTTACCATATTATCCATTGCTAGTGTTGTCACGAGTGGTGCATTTGTTGCTTCAATGAGAGGGTGAGTTTTGATGTTGATACCTCTAGATAGAGATCTCTAGAGTCATTTGGGGTGCTTGTATTCAGGGTGGGGCCCTTTGGGCAACCCTGGTGAGTGGTTCGGAGCATGCCAATGCCAATGCCCGCCCCCCAAGATCCCACATGGTCACCGTGGTCACCAGGATGCGAAAGGCATTCTTCAAGAGTTGCTTCGAGAAGAGGAGCTTAGCTCACTTGGAGTGCTGCACCTTGAAAGGGTTTCGGAGGGGTGTATGTGTATATATAGTTAATTATAGTTATATATCCACATATATATATATATATTATATTGTATATTATACAGACAAAAAATGGGGATGTGAAACTGGAGCTGAGAACTCTAGATTCAGTGTCGAGCATGAAACAAACGAGCTCACTCAGTTCGCGCTGAGGTGTCCCAAAGTCAGCAGTCACCTCAAGAGACACAGACCTTTTTTGGCTTGAGCAGGGAAATGAACAGAACATACTGTAACCAGGAAGGTGAAGCTAACAGATGAAGCCTCAATCAGCTAGTTACCAGGTAATCAGATTGACCCCTTGGTTAGGGGTGTCCAGGTGTTCACCGTCCTTTCCTCTACACAGAGGTTCTCGATGGTTCTCGCTTCGCTGCAGGACTCGTTGCTGGCGGTGACCTTCCCTGCCGTAGAGGCAATGCCGTGGGTGAAGCCTCAAGCGCCGGAGGAGCTGGTGGAGGTCGCCCGGAGCTTGCCAGCTGGTGGAGGTCGTGCCCGCTGGTTGGGGGCAGTTGGTAGGGTTCGCCGCTAGTTGGAAGGTGATTCTAGGTGGATCTAGATGGTCTTGTTGGTAGTTGGATTAGTTGGATTAGTTATCGGTTTGTGGATGTGTTTTTGGGAAAGCTGCCAGGTGCCCAAACAGCCGCCACCTGGCGAGAGGCTCTACAGGCGGGGAGTTCGAAGGAGTCGATCGTCATGGTACGACGCAGGCTTCTATCAAGAAGAACTTGTAAACGTATAGTTTTTGTTCATGCGCATGTACGCGGTGGCTAGACAGATGTGGAAGAACATGTAACTTCTTATACTTGTTTCAGGTCTTTGAGCTCAAGTGAGTCAAGAAAAGCAAGTGGACAGGAGTGCACACCAGCTGCTTGATGCAAGTAGCGTTTTGGCACGGATATTTTATTAAGATTCACCATCTTGCGGAACTTTGCCAATACTAATTACTGTGTAGAGTCGAGCTATGTGGTGCTGCGAACAGATCCTGTCAGATACTTTCTACTTCCAGCATGTTCACATATCTATGCGCAGCAAAAGACAGGGCAGGGGTTGAGGAGTTAAATTTTTCACCTAAGCTTTTGATTTGTACATGTGTGGCATTAGGCCAGTTCACCCCCCTCAATACGTCATATAATTTACAACATATATATAATTCACAACATAGACAGAATAGTTTCACAGTGCCCCCAAAAAAGTCAAATTTCAATCGATGATGGCGGGCTGACTGACACTCGGAGAATTCCACCAAATGTCCCAAGGAGATGTGTCAGTAAGCCTGCTATTGTATCTGATCAATATATTGAATCAATATACGATGTCCCAGAGATGTTCATTCGTTCACTTGTCCACCCTACGGTCAACACTTTGGAGCGGACAGATTCTCCGTCGGCTCGCGGCTCAGAGGCCGAAATGGGCAAGCAAGCTGTGGTTTGTGGTTCCTTGTATTTGGTTGCCGATGTGGCCAGCGACTCAACATTTAATCAGATTTGGAAATCAATTTCGTTATTTGTAGAAAGATGTGGAAAATATGGTCACAATATATATTTATATTATGATTTATTCTATTCTTCTGAGGTGCGGGAAATACAATCAAGAATTCCAATTGAAAAGAAAAAAATACATATTAATAATATATTATTAAAATAATTTAGCCTAAATTAAGGAAACAATATTTTCTAATCATTATAGAATAATTAAATCTTTAGATTTTATATATATATCATAATAATATATATATATAATATTTAATATCAAATTAAATATATTAATTTGTTTTGATAATTTATTGAATCATATTATTGATTATAATATATTAAATATATATTATAAAATATAGAATAGATAATATTATTATATGTTTAAAATATTTTTATATGTATTTATATGTTTAAAATAAATCGGACGAAATAATCGATATGGTTTGAAATGAAGAAGGGATAAATTATAGGCGATTGATTTTTTTTCGTAGAGAAAGGAATTTGTTGAATTTGGAATTGAATTAGATATTATTTATGAATATGTTTATTTTTTTTTGAAAGGAATATTATGATTATCGAATAAAATAAATAATATATATAATTGATTTATAGTTATTAAAAAGAATATCGATTAAAATTTTATTTATATTTTTAATATGTTTGAAATATTTTATAAATTATTCGATATAAATATTAAATTATAATTATTATTTAAATAATTTAATATATATTAGCTTAAGGAAATTTCGGAAGAATATAACCGATTATTTCTAGCAAAATTTAGAATGAATATTCGAGAAATACCCAAAATAGACATTTAATTCTATATTCTGTAGATCGATTAAATACGGCAATGATTTGAAAAAAAAAAAAATCGAATCGATATATATTGTTTCTCGGTTAAGGACATGAATTCTAATAGATAAATTCCGACAATTATAATAAATTAATATTATTTTCGCAATTAATAGAACAATATCTAGACATATTATGGAAGACAAGGGAAAATAAGGCTAGACAAGATAAAATTATCTCAATCTATCATCTAAATATACCATGGGAAATAAGGAGAGACGAAGGGATACAAAACAAAATCATCTCAACCGAATATCCAGACATACTAGGGGAGATAAGGAGAGACAAAGAAAAATGATCGCAACCCAGCATCCAAACACGCCATGGGAGACGAAGGGAGACAAAACAAATTCATCGCAACCCAACATCCAGGCATGCTATGGGAAATAAAGAGAGACATATTTGGATATTGGGTTGAAATCATTTTGCTTTGTCTTTCCTTGTCTGCCCTTGTCTCCCGTGGCGTGTCTGGATGTTGGATTGAAATGAATTTGTTTTTATACCTATTATATATCTTTAATTTTCTTTGTTTCCCATGGCATATCTGGATAATGGGTTGAGATGATTTTGTTTTATCTCCCTTCGTCTATTTTTATTTTATATGGTGTGTCTGGATGTTGGGTTGAGATGATTTTGTGTTATTTCTCTTTATATCTCTTTAATTCTCTTTGTCTCCCATGGCATATCTTGATAATGGATTGACATGATTTTATCTCGTTTTGTTTGTCTTTGTCTGCCATGGCATGTCTGGATGCTAGATTAGGATGATTTTGCTTTGTCTTCCTTCGTCTCCCCTTGTCTCTCATGGCATATTTGGATATTGGATTGAAAGGATTTTGCATTATCTTTCCTGATCTTCCCTTGTCGCCCAAGGCATGTCTGGATAATGGGTTGAGATGATTTTGTTTTGTCCCCTTTCGTCTTTCCTTGTCTCTCATGATATGTCTGGATATTGGGCCAAAAAGAAAGATGTTTTGGGATCGATCTTGATGTTGTTTGGGGTCGATCTTGCTATAATTTTATTTTGGAATATGTTTAATTCCTACATGAAATCAATATAATATATAATATTTCTGAATCCATAATGAAGATAATATGAAAACAGATATGAAATTTGCACAAAAAATCAACATTAGTCATGTTTAACGCCGGTTACAGTGTTTATTTATATATTAGTATATTGGTTTGATGCGGATTCATGTATATTCATATCGATTTTACGTCGGTTTTATATTAAATTCATTTTAAATATATATAAAATGAAAACAATATGAAACCAATGCCAAAACAATGTAAATTCCACATAAAATCAATATTAATCAAAATCTACATGAAATCAATATGAAAATAACATGAAAACGCAACGAAATTAACACCACGATTAACTTTTCTCCAGACAATATGATGTAAATTGGCGATTTCGATTAATAATATATATTTCATAGAAACAAATCAAAATAGAACCTCTTGAAAATCACCATCAAATATACTATTCACCAGATTTTGTTACAAAGAAAATATTTGCTTCTAATATTTTTGCCAAAGAATGCGCGTCGAATTCATGCCGGTTTCATATAAATTCAACTAAAATTGGTTTCAGATCAACTTTAGGTTCAATGGATGCCGATTTCACGCCGATTTCAATCCATAATATCTGAATTAATATAAATATAATATAACATATATCTTATTCATTATAATTTCAATTTGGAATATGCAAGAATCCAACATTGAAAATAATATCAAAGCAATTTGAAATCAACACTAATCATTTTGTGGGGGTAATTGGCGTGATTGGTATTAAATATGATTAATATTGATTTTGTATTCGTTTCATATTATTTTCAATTTGATTTCATTCTAGATTTTGAAATATTCCAAATTAAATATAAATATTTAGTGTAATCATATGTTTTTTATTGTTGAAGGATGACACGCACACATCGAGAAGCGTTTCATGAAGACACAAACCAAACTCAAGGCCATGAGCTGCCTTTTGTTCAAAAGCCAAAAAAGCTTGGCAGCTGGGAGGGACGGTCGGTTCGCGCCATTTCGCTCGCCGTTCTTGCTGGATTGAAGAGTTGTTTGGAAGGGTCCTGACCCTATTTGGTCAGGTTATGAGCCCAAGATCTTGCTGAAGTGAGGTCTTGGAATGTCGCTGCAACAACACCGTCGTCGAAAGGCGACACAAGAAGAACTAAGGCAGGGACAAAAAGAGATGGAAGCAGCTCAGAAGAGGCTGGAAAGGGAGGCAAGGGAAAGTGGGGAACTCCCCATCGAAGATGAAAGAAAGGAAAAGGCCAATGGCAGTGGCAAGAGGGAAGGGGGTTTGGAGCTCCAATCCATCGCCGAGGCTGCATAGGACACTCCTTCGACGTCGGTTCCAGCTCCCAACGAAGACAGCCGGACGAGAGCTTCCGAATCGTCCAAGACCCTGCAGACCACTGGCAGGACTCCACAACCGACAGCCAGGACTCCTCAGCCGCAGGACCAAAGAAAGATGGCACCAGCTGAAGGAGGCGAAGCTGAAATCAGGACACCTGCAGAAAGGAAGACCATGGAAGCTTCCACAAGAAAAGAAGAGGTTGGAGGCAAGGGGAATGGTGGGAAAAGGGTGGACCAAGACTGTGAAGAAGACACGACGGAGCCGCTTGTTGTGTCGATGTCAACTCCACCGGACTCACAGACCCGTTATTCACAAGGGAACAGTTGCAAGGACTTCACCACATGTATGAACAAGCTCCAGCACTGTACCCACAATTTCAAACCCCATACTCCGTCGCTCGGCCATCCTTTTTGGAAAAAGAAGAACCAGAAGGGATTAGAAGGTGGAGGATGGAAGAAAGGGAAGAACTTTGAAGAAAGAATGAGGTTCGAAAGGACCGAAAAGGAAGAGTTGTCACGACAGCTGTAATACCTGATGGTTGAGAACCAAAAGCTCAGGACACAAGCTGCCAGTGCCGTGACCTCGGAAAAGAAGAAAGAAGAAAGAAAGTGAGTGGCTTCGAACACGCCATTTGCAACAGGTGATTGAAGAGAATCGCCAACTCAAAGGAAACCTCAAGAAGCTCTCATCCCAGTTGGAGGCCAAGGAAGAAGAAGGCTTCTTTGCAACCCCTAATGAAAGTTTGGGAGTAGAGGAGGAAGAGATGAACCATGGTCCACATGACCATGAACGAGAGTCAAGGAACGAAGAAGAAGCACGCGAAGGGTTAACACGGAAGGGCAATGGGGGACGAAAGAAAGAAGAACAATCTTCATCAGATGCACTCCCTCCACAAACCGTGGATGTGATCCTCCGACTGCTCCAAGGAATGCAAGACATCCAGAAGAAGATCGTCAAGAATACAGGAAAAGAAAATGGAGAAAGAGAAGGAAGCCCAGAAGTGGTTCAAAGAGGAGTTGAACTGCCTAAGCTTCCAGAGTGGTCACCGGAGACTGGTCCCATCGACTTCTCGGATTGGCTCCTGTGATTCAGCCGCTGATGAGCGATCTCAGCAGCAGCTCTGAAGAATGGTGGCAGGTGGTGGTGGACACCGCAAAGGCATGGTACGTTTCCCACATGGGGAAAACTCCCTTAGAGCGCTTGCAGCATCATCCTGTCCCTCCACCTCTCTTGGTGCAGAAGAAGTGGCAGCGGCTGGAAAGGAGAGCTTCCTCCTTACTCTTGGCTGCCATCCCTGAAGGGCTAAGGGAGGAAGTTGTTTCATCGAGAAATTTGACCACCTTGGGAATCCTAACAAAAGGGATGACACAATACCAACCAGGTGGACTGGCAGAAAAGTCTGCCATCTTGGCGACATTGGAGTCGCCACAAGAAGCACAAACAATTGCTGGAGGGGTCACCACCCTCAGAAGGTGGCTCCGATGGAAGAGGCGGGCAGAAGAGCTTGGGGTATCTATCCCGGACGCCACCATCCTGGTCAAAGGGTTGGGCCGCTTGATGAAAAAGCTGAGCGCGACACACTCAGACTTGAACTTTCGGCTTCAGCTCACAAGAAACCAGCTCATGGTGGATATGATACCAACCCAAGAATCTGTCACAAAGTACTCGCACCGGCTGACTTGGAGACTATGGGCCATCAAACAAAGAAGAAGGAGGTGACAACAGAACCTCCAAAGTTGAAGAAGTTTGAAGAACAGTCAAAAGACCAAGGTACCAAAGACTACAAGGAGGTTGGGAACAAGGAGAAAAGCAAGTGCCGATTCTACCTTTCCGACAATGGATGCAGAAGAGGCAAGGGATGTTCGTACTCCCACGACCAAAGAGATGAAAAGAGAAGATGTTGGAATTGTGGTGGCACGGACCACATGGCTCCGGCATGCACCAGGCCGAAGGAAGGAAAAGAAAATCCGAAGCCAAAGCTTGGGAAGGCAGAAAAAGGAAAAGATGTGAAAGAGGAAGCAAAGGAACAAGAAGAAGCAAGTGGGTCCATGCAACCGAGTGTGAAAGACCTACTGGAAGAAGCAAACAAAATGTTGAAGTCATTGAACTCATCTCCCTCGTCATCCACTTCGTCTTCCACCGCTCAGGAAGGAGAAGAAAGAGAAGAAATCATGGAGAGGTTGCAAAAGCAGCTCAACGCACTTCGCCAGAAGGCATTTCGCCTCATGAGGTTGAAAAAGGGGGAAAGAGCTGGCCTACTGGACAGTGGAGCCACACACCCGCTCCGACCCATCAAACGAGGCGAGAACAAGGAGCTCTACGAGAAGGTCCAAGTTGCTCTGGCCGATGGGCAGACCACATGGCTCCCCATAACTCCAGGGGGAGTGATGATCACTGAAGACCAAGACATCGAGCCCATCATCCCAATGGGACAACTGACAAGGCAGTTGGATTGCAAGGTCAACTGGTCTCGAGGAAGCTTGGAGGTGATCCATCCTGTCCACGGAAAACTCCCAGTTGAAGACTGTGAAGGGTGCCCACAAGTCCCAAAGAAAGTGGCCATCCAGCTCATTGATGAGCTAGAACAAGTCAAAAAGGGGATGAAATTCAAGGAGGTGGAAGAGTTTGAAAAGGAGGTGAAATGGTTGAAAGAGCTGGTTGAGAAGCACCCGGTCTTGGCATCGCTCCCAGACAACATTAAGAAGGAATTGGTCGTTATGCCCTCGGAAGGATGTCAACTTCCAGCCAATCGAAGAAAAAGGAAAAGAATGAAAAGAGATGGATTCATTGTCCACCTGTATGCAGGTCCTGAAGAAGGCTTCACTCTGAGTCGAGCGTGGCAACAGATCGGAGGGAAGGAGGTTGAGCTGCTAGAAATTGATTTGCAGCGAGGTCCCGAACACGACATGCTGAAGTCCAACGAGGCATATCCGGCACTTCTCAAGGCCGTTCTGTCTGGACAGGTTCGAGGGCTGGTCGGAGGACCCAACTGCAGAACGAGATCAGTTCTTCGACATTTTCCAGTACCTGGACCTGATCCACCACGTCCGATCCGAAGATGGGGAGGCGAAGAATTCGGGATAGAAGAAGCGACCCAAGAAGAAAAACAAAAGCTCTAGGAAGATGATGTTTTGCTTTGGAGAATGGTATTTTTGGGAATGGTGGCCTCTCACTTGCGAAAGGCAAGAAGGGAACCAGATCCTTTCATCTTCTCTCTTGAGCAGCCAGCATCACCAAGAGAGTACAAACCCGAAGTGGTGTCATTCTGGGACACCTCTCAGTGGGCTTCGCTAAAAGAAGAATTTGAATGGGAAGAAACGACGTTCTCACAACGACCTCTTGGAGGAGCAGCAACAAGGCCAACGACGTTCGGAGGGAATCTCCAACTGGCACCTGAAGATCATGTTCTCAAGTCCATGGACGATCGACAGGTCAACCATTCTTGGCAACTGGCACGATGGCCTCCAGGACTGATGAACATGGTAGCAACAGCTCTACTTGCCCAGGCATTTCACCAACAGCCAAAGCTGAAGGCACTGCCCTGGGAAGAGCACTTGGCATTTAGGCACACGCCATCAAGAAGAGACTGCAGAATCTGTCAAGAAAACATGCAGCAGTGCAATCCTCACCGTCGAGTTCAATATCCACTAGCTAGAGTCCTGTCGCTGGACACTGCGGGACCCTTAACACCTGCGACAGACCAAGGAGGACAGTTGTCCAGAGATTTTTTTTTTTCTGGCGCTTTCACCTGGGCCGTTCCAACAGGATCCAAAAGAACCACGGAGGAGGAACCAGAAGAAGAAGGTAACGAAGAATTGCCAATGATTAAGGCGGAAAGGGAAGAGGAAGAAAATAAAGAAAAAGATGAAGAACCAAGTGAGGTCCAAGAAGATCGAGAAATCTCAGGAGGACACCGAAAAACGATTTCGGATGCAGAGGAAAGAGAAAGAAGGGAAGTGGGTCATCTACAGGAAGAGCTGAGTCCAGGGGGAGATGAAGCCACTCCAATGAAAGGCTCCAAACCTCCGAAAGACTTTAAAATCAAGACCTTCCACCTGGCACTTCCTATGCTCACTATGCTCACAAAAAAATCGCTAAAAGTCACCAAGGCCACTATAGAAATGGTGTTGAGGTTGAGGATAGACGGATACACCGTCAGTCGAATACACTCCGATCAAGGCCATGAATTTTCAAGCCAATTTGCAGCCTACTGCAGGAAACGGAGAATCATGCTAACCAAAACTGCAGGAAACGAACCCCAGGCGAACGGCCGTGCAGAATCCACCATAAAACGAATGAAAACGATGGTTGAATAAATATAATTTATAATTTATATTTGATTTTACATTATACATATATAAAATTAAAAAACACATATTAATACAAAAATCAAATAATTTTAGAAAATATATTAATTCTATTTATTTAAATATTATATTATAATAATATTATATATATAATATAATTAAACATATTTATCAAATTTGATTAATTAATTATATATTCTTCCAACACTACGCAGTAGCCTTGCAAGTACTTGTGCAGCTGCGTCACATCCAGCTGGTCATTTATTATAATTCCTGCTTTAGCAAGCCATGTGGCCAGCTGTGGCCCCTCTACAGCTATGAGGTTGCCAACCATCTCTGCTACCTCTTTGGTTATTATGGCTTCAATCGCTATGAGTTTCTCCCCTGCTTTAATTTGCAGGACCCAAAAAGTAATAATCCCGTCCTTGCTTGTGCCGCTAAGTGTTTTCAACACGCGTGCCTATTTCTCTTTCTTGCGGCAACATGGTTTTCACGATGCGCGTGCCTATACCCCTCGGATCACTTATATAACGTCCACCCAGCACGCTACGCCAACCCACTTACCATAATAACGTAGGGGTATCACGCTGTTGCACGACTCGACTCCTATAACGGCAGCGCATGGTAAAAATATTATATTGCCAAAAGACGGAAAGTAGGTAGCACCAAGTAACTCAAGAAACATGGCTCAACTAGCGGATCCCAATGTATCATGCTATTTACCGCTCGGCTCTACAGCGGCCTCGTAGACAAGTATCAAGGATTAAAAAACAAAATCAAGGGTTAAAAAAGAAAAAATAAAGGATAAAAAAAAGCGTTCGGGGATTAAAAAAAAATCTCCCCTACATTAGGTAGGGGGCGGGATAAGGGCCCCCCTTAATTAATTTATTTTTTTAATTAGGGAGGGCCTTCTAAATAATCCAACCACTGCCAACTAGAAGATTAAAATACATAAGAAAATTAATCAAGAATGACTGTGAGGCAAGCCGAGTTCTCAGTTAATTAATCTAGGTACCTTGAGTTCCTTGACAAAAAATAATGAGGTGACCTGTGAGTTCAAATTAAAAAACACTAAGATGTCAACCACCATACGATTAATTTCTGAAATTCTGAAAATGCAGAGTGCACACAAGCAGCTTCTTCTTACCTGCCACATCTACTGGTTTCCATATCTGTATTTACCTGAACTCTGTATTTCATTGTATTTCTGTCATGTTTCATTCGTTCTTTCAATCGCTAAGTTCCTCCCTGCTAAAGGATGCGTTATGCACAAACACATGCAAAATCTCAATCACATCTTTCTGTTTACTTTGCGACATCTAAATCACAAACCTTGCACACATTGTGTACAGCATCTAAATCACAAGCTGGAGCTAGTATAATGAGTATACACATATTTAATCAATGGGTGGTAAACATGTTCCTCACCACCACCTGTTTTATTTGCACCCCCCCCAAATCAAAAAATTAATTCCAGTGACCTTGACCTAGAAAGCAAGAAATTAATTCCAGGTCAATTAATATCTAGCGCCTTACTAGGGGTACCCCTCTGAGTATTCACCCAACTTCTAGAAATTAATCCAAAAAAATTAATAAAGATCTCAATAGGAAACCTTGATTAATTTCCTAAGGCTGGGTAAATAAAAAAAAAGGTCGGAGGGGCACAAAAAGAAATCGGGGAAATTTAAAAAAAAGGTCTACAAAATTAAAAACAATTATTTTAAAGGGGATTAAAAAACAATTGTTTTAAAAGGGGTTGGAAAAAAATCGGGGGGATAAAAAAAATGGTAAGTTAAAAAAAGAAGTTGGGGGATTAAAAAAGGGGAGTCCTATAAATATTAATTGCATTAATTATTTTTTTTTTTAAAAATACATTAAATATATATATTTTATAGATTTAATTTGGATATTTTTTAAACAACGGAAAACGAAAGGAATAATAAATATATCAATAGGTTAATGGTTTACATCAATTTTTGCATATCTATCCCTCCCCGCCGATACCCCTAAAGATTCATTTCGTTCGCATAAACTAACTTCAGCCTACCCTATCGGCTGGATTTCGTAAAATTGGTTCAATCCATTCTTTTTCCTGCAATAGAATTCTTCAGCTAATTGGCCACCATAAAACTAAAGATTCCATACGGGCAGTTGGCTCATCCAGCAAAGACATGCAAGAAGCAAAATGGCGTGCCATCATTGCCAATTTCCACGGAATGAAGCCTCGGCGACCGGCCAGAAAGGTTTTTCTGGGATATGGTTCCTTTCAATTTAGGGGTCCAGAAATTGAACCATCTAATTTGTTGGAGCAATTCGCAGCGCAATTAAGTATAGAGGAACATTGTCATCCAAAGGGCCATGCCATCCTCCTTCTATGATAATTCCGGGGAGTGTCTGGGAAGCCGCCCACCCAAATCAATGCCGCTTCAATGATTTTGACCTTGCAGCAGCGGCATCTCTGGCGCCCTTGCCCCCAGGCACGAGGGAATGCCACCCAAATGATTAGAACAAACAGGTAGTGGAACCCATTTAGGTACAGGATCCCAAACAACTGGGAGTGATTCACCTCCCAAAGCACCATGAGCCCAAATCTGGTTGGTCAAAGGTCTTGAAATAGCCGTCCATGGTGTCCTCGTCGAAGTAAACATCGGGGTCTTCATCCGGTTCACCATCCAATGGAGGATACACCCACTCATCACCCCATGCATGGTCGTCGATCATCTTGTTCAGAGCTGTCTCAAAGGCTGCGGCAAAAGTTTTGAAGGTGTTAATCTTGTGGGCCCTTTTGAGCAACACGCCCAGGGCTGCGGTCACGGTGTTCTCCTTGATGCCACCGCTGCAATGCATATTGCAGTCCAAATAGGCGGGGTCAAGGTTGCATTTCAGGACGCCATAATCGCTTCCAGTCCAAACCAAAGCCATGACCAAGGAGTATGCATTTCTTCCACCCAAGCGCCTATCTCCAAGTAACAAGATCCTTGCTGACTCAGGGATGGGCAAGCCATCCAAAACACTGCGCACTGAAGCCCACCAAGCCTTGCGCAGGGCAGGCTCGGCTCCTTTGGGATCCAAGCCATTCAGGTAAAGCTCTTCTTCAAAAGGCTCTGCATTGGCTTGCTGTCCACCCACCCGTAGCTGTAGAAACTTGTAGAAGGGGTTCTTGAAGGACATGGATTTCTTGTCTCCTACCTCGGTCTTCTCCCATTCCAATCGGATGGAGTCCACCACCGGCAACGAATCCGGTGTCATGAAGCCGTTGATCAAATTGCTGGCGACGTTGACCATCTTCTTCGCAGTCTTTGGCTTCACCACCAAGACCTCTTTGGGCCTGACCTGACGGAAGAGTGGCGACGTCATGATGCCTTTGAAGGCCTGAGATGTGGACCTCATGGGTGGCTGTGAGGTCACTGGCAGGTGTGAGAGGATCTCAACCAAAGAGCCAGCAGGCAGTTTCTGATCGAGACTGGTCATATCGGCCAATCACTCGGCCAATCTATTTCTAGGGGATCTACTGCTACTACCGCGATTTGGGAACTTCCTTGGGCCTAAACGGCTCATGCAACTCTCATGACCTCCCACATAAAACACCGCAGCCTCCAGCCTTTACACTTTGAGAGCCGCTAGTGGCGGTTTGTTGTGTGCACCCAGCATGGTTCCATGCACAAGCAAATTCTTCCTGGCATAGCTGCATCGTTGATTTCGCATCCCTCAACCTCCATGAGTTCTCCACCAAGGATCCGGACGATACGTGGGCTGAGTCCAGGCAGTCCAGGCGCTCCTGTCCTGCCAAGGGTCTGGATGGCTGGACTCTTGGCTCAAAGGCACTGACTGCTAAGGCCCACTTGCCCCAGCGGTCTGTGCGTGGCCCCATCGAAAACGAAGAACTAATGGACCGAAAAACAATCTGTTCTGGAATCATGTCCAAGGAATGTTCTGTTTGCATATGTTAGCATTCAAGTGCTACTCTCAGTTTCTTTCTTGACCAAATCCTCATTGTGCTTAGCCTAAGGCCTGAAATTTGTCCTACAGCTGACCAATCCAGAAACCGATGTTTTGGCACGGAGTGTGGACCCCCCCCGTCTTCAAGGCGCACCATGTTGCAAGGTTTCCCCTCTGTACCCTGGGTAACTGGCCTTCAGAAATATTGGAACATCACAAACTGCGCAGTTGCTTAGACCGCTCGCGATTTTGGAGCCGCTCTTGACAACATGGCCGGCAACGTGTGCCATACTTCCATTGGATCTTTTCAGATCAGCCTCTTATAAATTGTGTCAAGCCGAAGTCTGATTTCTGCTTGTAGCCCATCCTCACTTTGGACTTGCAAAACTGCGACAAGAATGGAACATCCAGGAGCCACTCATCATCACGAAGAGCATACCAAAGGACCAAAAAGCATCCTTTGTTCCTCGCAATGCCCATCTCTGCTTCGACCGAACACCAACTGCTCCAGGCCTTGGAAGAACTTCAGAAGTCTCCGCCACTACCACCACCATCAGAGGACCCACCACCGCCACCATCACGATCACTGAAAGACGGGGAGGTCAGGATTGGCAGGATGATTCGATCACTAAAGGTGGCCGAGCAAAAGTAGCACTCAGTCCTCAGCTTGAGTGAGCACTGGCTGCGTGGTGAGTGGCACTAGCTGGGTATGTTCAGCTTTAAGTCTTCAAGCAGGCTGTAAGTCCATTGATTGATAAAACCCTGATTCTCCCATGTAGGAACCCCACAGCAATCAATGGGGCACCCAAACACACTAACAAGATCTCGCCTCCAAGGGACGTCTCCTCACGAAAGCCCGGCGTCACCGTGGTCGCCGGCACCAGCAGCGTGGTCTGCGACAGGGCGGTGCGGAAGCCGCAGGCGCCGCAGCGGCTGAAGCGCGAGAGCCGCTCGGGTTGTGAGAGGAGACCCAGCCCCTGACGGTCCTGGCTGTTCTGCGGGTGTGGTGGTCAATGTGAGCAAGTCCAACCGGCACCACTGGTTTTACCATGTTGATCCTTTGAGTAGCAGCGAGGTGCAATGCTATACACACGATATTTGCTCACATTCCATGCAAGTAGCCTTGAAACATTATAGGTAGCACCCCCCCCTCGCTCTTTCCACTTTATGTTCCAAATGCTGTAGTCCAAACTTGTGCCACTCAAGGCATCAACCTCTACATCTCAATCGCAGGGAAGTAATGTATACAATGCCTTGGATCATGTCTAACCCCTATAGATGCGACTGTTCTTATCCAATCAACACTCCACCAAACAACTCACACCATCTCACGGAAAAGTTTCCGTTCGAACATGTTAGAACTATCATTCCCACAGAGATGAACAGAAATGACATTGAACTTAGACTTAATTAAGAGAACACAGAGATGAACTTAGATTTAATTAAGCAATCTCAGCAAAGGGTGGAGCAGGTCGAAGCTGCAGACTTTGCGGCTGGGGTTTCAAGGAGAGATGTTGAACGGTCTATGACGGATCATATAGGTATCAAACTTGATGCGATGTACCAGTAATCCAGCTCGATGTGTTTGCCGATGCCCCTCAAGTCCCTAACATTGAATATATTGAATCGAATCAATCATTATTCATTATAATCAATCCTTTTTTATCCTTCTTGTCTGTCTCCTTCTAGTTGCATCTTTGGAATTTGTATGATTGATTTATATACTGTAATATCCCACCCAAGAGTGCTCCACATTTGAGGCATCGAAAACCCTGGCTACCAAGTCTCCACAGTCGCCACCTGCACTTCTTCAGGCGAAAGTCGCAGATCTCGATTTCGGCTCACGGCTCCTCCCATCCGTTGAGCTCCTCTGAAGGCGCGGACGCCTTGGTCGGCCGCCCATCGCTTTTGACACCCCGGGCGCCCACAGCCGCACAGCACGTGCTGCACCGAGCCCAGCTCCAGCTCGGCTCGCTGCCCCGGCAGCAGCTCCTCCGGCTTCGCCGGACGCAGGCGCGACATCCGTCCGTTGCAGAGTCCGCAGCTGGGCGGCTGCACCCAGCCACTGCGGAGGAAGAGCCCTGCAACTGCTGCAAGGCCACTGGCAAACCACAGCACCGCCGCGCGGGTGCGCCAGCGTTGGGGAGACGAGACCTCCCGATCGGTCCGCTGCAGCTCGTCGCAGCAAGCGGATACCCCGGCGGTGACGCCCTGGTCGTAGAGATTGCGGCGGAGAGAGGGCGTCATCTGAGAGTGAATCATGCGTTGAAGCCACTCGTCACGGTTGAAGACCTCATTCAAACCACGTCCGATCTCCACCTCCACACGCCGATCGCCTGTAGACACCAAGACTAAGACACCATTGTTCTTGTAACGATCCCCAATGCCCCAGGAGTTGAAGAGTCGCGTTGTGAAGCGTTTCACCTCTTTTCGATCGTGATCTGCTCCTTGAACTCCAGGCACTGTGACCACCACCAGCTCAGCTCCGGTCTTGCGCTGGATCTCATTGGCGAGATGGTCGATCTGCATCACGGCACTGGGGCTCAAAACGCCTGCGGTATCTGAGACCCAACTTCTCCGTGCCCAAGGTGAAGGAATCTCACTGGGCTGTGAGACCCGGTAGTTCAGTATCGCGCCAGGAGCCCGAACGAAGCGCTCAGCCTTGCGGAAGGGGGTATCGCTGTTGTAGACATATTCGATCTGTCCTTGCTGCTCCAGACGTGATTGTAAAGCACCAGCTTTCGAATTGGACATCGCACCTCCCACCACTCCCAGCAGCACTACCACTGCCAGCACCATGGCTGCAGCACGCTGCCGCCAGCGGGTGAGCCGCGTCTCGGCCGCCCACTCCATGGGTTTGGAACTTTTCTTCCTCTTTGGCGTCTTCATCCGCCCACCACTCTCCACCCGCCTCCCGGTGTGGAGGATTCGCTGCGGACGATGGACATAGAATCTGGGAACAGGATAGAGGAGGCCAGGCGCTGGAGCTGGCACGAGGGAGAGGCTCATCTTGTGAACCCACGCGGCCCTTAACAACTATCATATAATAAATAATCAGACTATATTTGTGTATATAATGATCTCATCTGTTTGTGTAAGTCTAGACCAACGGTCTGCTCAGCTATGAACTCAAGAAAGAACACCCTACATATCCCTGCATTCCATTTGAATGAAACCTCTTGTATCTCCAACCATGCTGAGGCCTTGCTCTTGGAAAATGATCAGCCTGGTTGCTGCTTGTGGCCAATGGCTGCCAACCAAGCACGCAAAGCAGCCATGCTGCAGATTCATTGAATACGATGCGGCTGAAGATATGACATGTGGAGCCCCAACTCTCCAAGTGCACTATCAAATCATTGTGGGGTTGCGTGGGGTCCAAAAAGTCTGAGCTGTTAACCGCAAAGTCGCCACCTTTGAAAGAGCTCTGGTAGGCAAAATGAACATCGACCTGTCTTGGCAGTCTGGGCCCCTACTACAAGAAGGGATGTGACGAACAATGCTGGTAGGACAAATCATCACAGCCCATTCTTCAACAAGCAATAACAATATATAGTATGATCCCAACCGACTCCACCGCATCCAGCCCGCGAGCCTTTTGAGATTTCATGCAGTTGTTGGTTGTGCACGCCTCCATGGTCAGGATTCAAAGCGAGGATGCTGACGGTAGTTGGCACTTTCTTGTCTCCCCCTAAGAGAAGTAATTCCAAAAGGGATGACAGTTCCCCCCGCCCTGCACGGGGAAAGTTGGATCACTGCACTGTGGCTACCTGAACACCAAGCCACTCACCAAGCCCTCCATTCCTCCTCATCAGTGGTGCAAGTGGATGAATTGCCATGAGACAGGGGCTCTTGGTGTGTCCACCTGTCCAAATATCTCCTCTAAACCGTCACACGGGGCCCGCTGAGAATGGGCTAGCCTGTCTTTTCCATGTCCTGTCTATGGATTTGGGAGCGGAGGTCATCTTCCCAACCAAATGAGCAACTTGCAAACCATCCAGCCGTTGGGGGTACATGCATTAGGATGTGCACATCAACCCATTGGAGCAGTGCCTTACAAGCGGCTCCTCTCTGGAAATGGAATGTTAGAGGAAGCTAAGGCAAAGCGATTGAGTTATATTGAATTCATGCGCTTGCGTGTGACAAGCGTCTTGCAAGGATTGTCACCCCCTGGACAAATAACAGTAGAGTGGATCATGAAAGGGGTCTATCAGTCTATCATTTATCATCCAGTCTTTCCTTGCAATGAACAGGTGTGTCCACCAAAATCACCAAACTGCTACAGTGGCGGCTTGAATCTGGCTGCACCAAACAAACAATCGCAGCTGTTAACAACCAATCACGTGGTAAGGATATACGGTACATACTTACATACACTTACGTGATCATTACCCGACCATGGTGCGGACTTTCGCCAGGAAACTGGCTTATGCGTGCTCTCTGCTCTCAGCTTACACCACACAGTGCTTTCTTGATTGCGGAAGTTCATATGACACAACTGGTGCTGGTTGTTTTTGTCCGCACAGGTTGTGACCCTTGATCAAATGTCGCATCAACTTTGTCAACCGCGCTTAGAAGGATGGTCTCAACCCACCTTTCAATGCACAGTGCCTCGAAGCCGAAAATCCGTACATACCTGGGATGGCAGCTCCAACCTGGGTGAAATTCAACAAGTCCTCAAAGGTTAATACAAAGGCGGTTCGGCTTTCACCCCTCATGCGCTGTTCCGCAGTGACTCGGTGTGCCTCGAAGCAAATCGCCAGCAGCGTCGCTGCGACTGCCTCTGGCACCGCAGTTGCGGCCGATCACCGTTGATGGAAGAATTGAAAATCCTGCGCCACTTGAAGCAGCAGGTCAGTAATTAGGAATGGAGGGACATTCTTTGTTGGTTGTTTGCTGAATTTTTGTCATTTCTTTGGGGTGCTGATTGACATGCTTTCCGGCATACCTGGGAAGAACCCTTATGCTTCTCAGATTGTGCATCCTTGTGCGATTTCCAATGTTTCGGGAAACCAAGCACCGCTTTTCAGCCACTGCCATGTTCCAAAAATCCGAACAGTGATGCCACGGGGGGCACACGAACTTAATCAGATTTCCCCAGGTCCATCATACACCAGCTCAATGCCGCGTTGACCTTGGATACACCAGCTCAGTGCCGCGTTGAACTTGGAACACATCTCGTAGCTGGCCTGCGCACTTGACCTTGGCGGGTGTCAAAAAAAATGGCTGAATGTTGGGGTTCATGGGGTGTCCAACTACAACACACAAAATAGATGTTTGGCAAATCCTGGCAACTGTCAAGGAAAAATCCTCGAACCACTCCTCACAGGGGGGATAAAGGAACTCTTCTGTGCCGGCCGCAATCTCTGCTTTGATCTTGCCAACCCCGGCCTGTGCCCGAAGCCGATGGACTGTGTTGTGCAAAGTGTCCCAAGAGGCGATGGTTCTCAAGGTCACTTGGATCACTTCTGTGCTCTGGTTGCGGATGCGGATGGGCGCTCGAGCTTCAGCCTTCTGCTTTCCGTATTGGCACCACAGGTGTCCGGCAACGGCCATGGTGGTTGCAGACACTGTCCCGAAGAGCAAACATTTTGCCATGCCGACTTGCGCAATGGCTGAAGCGGTGCCGGATGCGCCTGTTCCTCCTGCAGCCGCACTCGCACTCCCAGCACCAGAACTTGCACTTGCAGCCACACCTGCATGTCCACTTGCAGCAGAAGCACCAACACTTGGACCAGCGCCCACACTTCCACCTGCAGCACCCGCACTCACACTTCCAGCTGCAGCAACAGCATTCGCAAGTGCACCTGCAACAACTGCAGCTGCACCAGGGCTTCCAGCACCCGTGCTTGCACTCACACCCGCAGCCCCACTTGCTTGTCCACTGGCAATGCCACTGACAGCCGTAGCCGAACCCACACCAGCACTGACACTTCCAACACCAGCACTCGCACTTCCAGTCGCAGCAGCAGAATTCGCACTTCCAGCTCCAGCAGTGGCCACATTTGCGCCGGCAATTGCGCTCGCACCCGGAAAGGGTGGTATGCGGTTGATTGCTGCAGTGACAGTTGCGCGTGCCATCTGCTGTGCCACGTCAGATGCCATCTCACGCGCCACAGGCCCTAAAGCATCACTAAAGCTTTGAGCTGGTTGACTTGAAGGGGTGTCAGTTACTGGCCCTGCAAAGCAAAACCTTGCGAAGTCTCTGCTGTGGTTGACAAGTGGTCTCCACCGAAAGGTTTGATCTAATCGAGATCTGGCCCTCTCAATGACTTCTGCACCATGCTGGGGGCTCGATGCAGTGGCCACTACACGCCAAGAAGGATAGTGTCGCTTGTACTCCTCGAACGATTGACACTTCACTTGATCTTCTCCCCATGTGCCTCCCAGCGTGCAGTAATAAACTTCCTGCTGGCCTTCATCTAGGATGGCATGGATGTCTCCAAATAGGCCGGCGGAGGCAATGCGACGGACCGCCGGTCTGTTCGACATTCCCCACACGGGAATTCCACTAGATAGTGGGGGCACTTGTACCCCAAGTCCGTCTGCAGCTGGTATACTTGAGCCAGGAGGACACTGTAAGATCGGCTGCATGAACCATGCACTTGCTCATGGCTCCATTGGCCAAAAAAGTAAGTGTGAATCTTGTCATGCAAGCTCAAGCGCTCATGACCACACAAGCGATAATGGCCTGTGAAAGATCTCCCGACGTCCCCTTCTTTCCTCCTGGACTCCCTGCGAATCTACCCCATCTGCCCCACACTGCACGGACAGGTTCAGCTCATTGCGCCTCCTTCCGCTCCCAGGCTTTTTAGGCACACTCTGAAATGATCGCTGCCACAGCAACAGCTCTGCCTGTATGGTTTTAAAGGATCTATAGGCGGAGAAATGATGGACATGTACGAAGGTGGGAGGGTCTATCTGGCTGGATGCTGAGTGGGTCACAACCCTGGACAACAGGATGACATCTGCCTATTCCAAACGCAGCCCTTGGAGAGGGTGGAGCGGTGGGCTCAAACTTTGCGCTGCGCACTGTGTGGACTCAGTCCGAGAAACTTTACCAGAGCAATGATACTGTAGTGTCACAGCCAGAGCTGCTAGATGGTCATCACCGACTCGCAATTGGTCCGTCTCTTTACCTTCCGGCCTTATTGCGAGCTTCGAAGCCGCCTCGGGCCTTGAGGCCACAAATGCATCAGAAGCAGAATGTTGGAGAAATTGTCAAAGTCCCAGCGGTTGTGGATGAGGAAGGGTAAGGTACCGCTAGAATCAGGCACTGCCCTCCAAAATGCTGCCCCCATGGTCCTCAACCCTCAAACCCCTAGCGCACTCCAAGCCATTTTTTCCAGAAAACCTCAACACCATGACCAACCCATGTACATCTCCCTCAGTCCCCAACTGAACCTGCCGCCTCCAGCAGCCAATTTGGTCATATTCAAGGTTCTGAGTTCCCAAAGTCGGTTGCTGACCGCGCTGACCGGTCGCTTCACCAAAGTTCTCAAGCTCCCCTGTTGAGCTGGATTTAGTGTCAATACGCGTCAACGTGATTCGATCATGGGGCAAACCAAGGCCGATGCTTCATTTGGCCTTTGTGGTTTGCCCCGGTCACCAAAGAAACACGACAGTCCAACGGTGAGTTGGTGGTGTGACATGTCGTCGACTTGTCGACTACTTTTTGGGGTCGATTGGGATGTGCCGCATTGATGCAGCATGATACACGACACGGATTTGGTGTTGACACCTCATGTCCCGATACGTAAAATTGAATGACGTGGTAGCTGATCATCTACGCACAATGATGCCTCTGGATTGATAGCCATAGACGCACATCATTGAAACCCAATGGAGCAACCCCAAAGTAAGTACAATGTCTGTTGTCCAGCTTTAGAGGATGGCGGTCACAACCCATGGTGTCAGCCGTCCAGCTTTGGAGGAAAATCGTCAGCCTGGTTGCTGCTTGTGGCATCTTATGGCCAATGGCTCTCAACCAGGCACGCATAGTCCAAAAGGAATTGAAGCCAGACCCCAAAGCAGCCATGCTGCAGATTCATTGGATGCTCTACGGCTGAATGTACCACATGGCCACATGGAGGCACGACTCTCCAAGTTCACTAGCCACAATGACAAGGCATAAAGAAAAGCAAATCATTGATAATCATTGTGGGGCCATTTGGGGTGCTGACATCAAGCTGGCACAAAACTGCAAAAACACACCCTTTGAAAGAGCAAGAAACGTGCTTTCTACCACTAACTAGGTACAAGTAGGCATAACGAACATCGACCTGTCTTGGGAGTCGGGGCCCGTGCTACCACAAGAAGGGATGGGGATGTGACGAACAGTAATAGTCTAAGTGGCACAAACAAAAGGAACACATATTCAAAGATATTCACAACCGATTCCACCGCAGCCAGTCCCTGAGCCTCTGGAGCTTTCGTGCAGTTCTTGGCTGCGCGAGCCTTCGTCGGGACTCAACGCCAGAAGGCAAGTTGACCTCCAAGTCTCATGAATACTGCCGGTAGTTACCCGGTAGTTGGTGCCTCCTTATTATATACCTCCTACGGGCAATTCATTCCAAAAGGGGTTACAATCACCCCTCACCCTGCACGGGGAAACTTAGATGATTGTGGCCGCCTGAACACAAAGCCCTTCAATTACTTCTCAGCAGTGAAAGTGGATGTGATGAAATCCCATGAGGGGGCAACACCGAACACCGACACTAACTTTCCCACAAGGTTGCATCGTCCAAGATCTTGGACTCCCTCTCGTGAGTCTCTTACAAGGTGTTTCTGTTGCTGGATGAGTCCTCCAAGTAGAAATGTGAAGCTTCTTCTTGCCTTCAGGACGACGAAGGCACGTTTCAGCAGGTCCTAGCGGGTCGAAATTGTCAACGTGAGTTCAAGAAACAGCACAGGGCAATGTACATAACATGACGCGTGTCTATGATTCATGATATGGCAAACAGAAACAGGAAAGAAACGGCAAACAAATGTCGTCTTCAGCACATCGGTCCTCCTTCACCCTTCTTGACAAAGAGGCGGCGGTGGCGTTCCCATGCATGCTCCGTTGCTGGAAGTCATGAACCCTGACTTCACCCACATCGGCTGAGAGGGTTAGAATGCTATTGTGCTCAGTAAATTTCATCCAATGAAGAATCCTGGTACAGCAGAACAAGAACTCATGGGATCCTGGATCGGCCCGAAGGATTAGGTGAATCAAAACGCCCTTTGACCAGTCAAAACACCCTCAGAAGGAAGCACATCTTGGACCTTCTCGATGATGCGTTGTAAGGTTCTTGCAGAGTTGTTGCCAGCCAAGGAAGAAGCTTGTTGCATCATACCAGTCATATCAAGCAACTTGCTTCCAACTCATGTGTCAAAAAAGTGCTTGTGAAAGCAGTGCAGTGGTCGTCCATTGTCCTGTCCTCTCAAATCTGGCTAACAAAGTTTTTATTACTTATTACAAAGAACATGTTCTTCCCTCAGCAAATCAAAACCGCTGCAACATGACAGTGCTTGGCCTGCAATTGGTACCAAAGCACTCAAGATGATGAACCAAGGTGCTGAGTAATTAAAAACACCGCACGATCAAATGCAGAATGTAATGACCCCAAGCTGGACGAGGGGAACGTGGAGTGAGAAGCGATGCTCAGGGCGGTGAGGGCAGTGTGATGATCTGTGCCTTTCTCTGGGCAAAGCCCGATGAATGTCTTCAATGAAGCGTTATCAATCACTGTTGCGACAAGAAGGAACTGGTTATGTAGTTGTTTGATTATCATAAAAACTCAGGATATGTCGCAAGCCGCTGACAGGCTCTGGAAAATAATCAACTTGCTCCTTCATGCCAAGCGACCCACCAAAGTGCCAAAGCAGCCCCACAGGTTAATTTAGCTTATTTAATCGCTAGCAGCAACTTGAGTTCACTACGAGTACAGGAAAAAACATACTGAAGTTACTGAAGTCATCAATTGTGAACATGCTTGATAGTGAAATGCCAAATCGCCATCTTCTACAGAACCACACAGGAACATTTCCCACCCAACGAAGAAACAAGCCAACTCACTGTGTGCCTGTGTAAAGACACGTTCCTTCAACAGAATAGACAAATCTATATGGTATATGCGCACTGTATTTATTCTTAAGAAGTGCAGGTGGCCAAGACGGGACCAAGAATCTGCACGGCGCGCTTTGCCTCGTGGCAGCGTATCAAAACAGGGACAGGAGAGGTCTTGTGAAGACTTCATGGGTAAGCCCTCCACAATCCTTGATCACAAATGTCCTCTGTTTCTCTAATTGCTGACTCTACTGATGCCTCTCCTGCAAAGAAACAGCAAAAGGGTACTGCACACTCCCGATAACGAACATGGACCGCCGGTGTTTGCAAACTCGATTCCAGGATTCCAGGCGAGAACGCTTTTGAATGTCTAAGATATTGGTCAGTGCCCTGAAACGGCCAGTTACAGGATCCCTGTTACAGTACTATTCCTACCAACTGCGTTCTGTGCATTGTCCTTCTTCTAGCACCGTCCAGGGTGCCTGCAATTTCTTCAACCGACACTGAGTATATAGCAGGAATCAGGTGCCAACGGCCCACAAAACAAGGAAGGGGCAAAATGGTAACTTCAGGACAAACTTTAGTGTATTTGAGCAACATTCATTCCTCCCGTATCTTTCCCACCTCCATCCATCTCCCCTAGGCCACTGCCCCTGGACCTCGGGATGGTTGCACTTGTCTGGGTGACAAAGCCTGCGCGGAACTGTTCGGGCAAGTGGGGGATGCCAGCGGCAGCCAAAGCCCTGCAACTTGACCAATGGTAGTGGATTCGCGTTCTGGGAGCATGAATCATGAACATGTTGCAAATGGTCTTACACAGCGTCTCAGGTTTGACAGGTGAAAATCATCTGTAAAGAGCGGGGAAACAAAAAAGGTGAAGCAAAATAAAAAAGAAGGTCTATCTAGTAAGCACACACGACCAGCATGACGACTGCCGATTGCGCAGTTCCACATTTGAGACTGCTGGCCACATTCAAACCACATGAATAAAATTCCCACCATGCTGTTGTGATCCTTTATTGAGTTCTCCCTCTCCCATGCCTCAGCAACATCTTCACCTTACAAATCAAGCTCGCCGCGGCTGGTAAAGGCATTGAGGATTGCCCACTCTTGGAACTAACTATCCAAGGCCATTTATATAAGCGAAGGTTCTGGCAATATGAAATAAGCCAAGTCCTCCAGACCTGTCCTCACAAATACACCTTCTGGTTGTGTACTCGACGCCGCACCAAACACGAGACACCACCACCTCTACTCCACCTGCCCACCTTCCAACCAATAGCCACGACTAGGGCGCAAACCGTTGCACGGGGCCCACCAAGCATGGGCAAGCCAGTCTTCTCCATGGTGGGCCTTGGAGCGGAAGTCATGTTTCCAACCCCCCCAAGAACCTGACAAACCATCCAACCATATGTCCGCGCCAAATTCAAACGCAATGTGCCCTGTCAAAGCAGAAAGTTCCTCCAGAGCAGCGCCCTACGGACCATTGAACCAAAACTATGGGAGTTGGCTACTTCCCAGCACCAGGATGCCGGGATGCAATAGGCATCTAAACAAGTAAAGAAACAACGCGATAGAATTGACGCACCCTCTTACAACAATTGCAAGGATTGTCACCCCCTTAGTCTGCACACCAAAAAGTAGAATGGATCATCAAAGGGCCCTTTGTCATCTATTATCGCCTACTATCATCATCATCATCATCATCACCCACTCTTGCCTTGTCCTTAACATCCACTATCCTACAAACTGGAAAACTTGATCAACCGCTAAGGTCGCTGCAAAAGGTTGTGCGGTTGGGCCTCACAGGCACCAACGACAAGGACCAAGAAAGGATAAGACAGGCATCGTTTTGACATCCGCGCATTGAGGCAAAAGGTAGGGTTGGTAAGATGGAAGTGATGTGTTTAAGCTTGTAGAGCCGTGCCATGAAACACGGAAGCACCTTTCAGTGGCCAAAATTCAACTATTGCAAAAACAAAGGCGCTTGGAAGAGCAGCCTTTACCCCTATTATATGCCCATTGAATGCATCAAACCAGGAGTCTGTAGCCATCTGTAACTGCTCCAGTGCGTTCGCAGGACGCCCAGGCGCCTCGAAGCGAATCGCCAGGCGCACGGCCAGCGCTGCAGCGTAGCTGCAACTGCCTGTGGGTGTTTTCGGCGGATCGCCATGTGTCGGTCCTAGGGATGGAAGAATATCCTGCACCAGTTTGGACAGTAGGAGGGGAAACCCAATGATATCTATGATTCTGATCTCCTCTTTTACACCCCGTCTAATATTGTCTAATGTCCTTTTGCTGGTATTTTGGACATTTCGTTTGAGGGAGGGCCTCATCCGTCGATGTCTTCGGGGCACCTGATTGAATAGGCAACCTGGCGCGCCTGGATACAATTCTCATGCTTCTAACTCAAAAATTCAGAAATTTTGTCCCCGTGCCACGTCCAACAAGAGAGCCTTCTGTTTCCGGCGCACCGGGCACTATTTTGGATCCCTGCGAACTGCTGCTCTCTTTAAAAAGGACAATCGACGCCATGTTGGGATATATCTAACTCCATCGAATGCTTTCAGGTCCACCATAAACCACCTCACTGCCGCGATGGAGTTTGATCTCTGCTTGTAGCTGGTCTGCACACTTGACCTCGGTGCTGTGAGGGCTAGGTCCACACAATAAATGCAGAAGGTGTCAAAAACACCAAACAACCACTGAATGTTGCATTTCCTGGGATGTCCCAATCTAAGAAACAACAAAGTTTGGACAAATCCTGGCAACTGTCAAGAAAAAGTCCTCGAACCACTCCTCACCATCTTCACAGGGAGGATAAAGGAACTCTTCTGTGCCGGCCGCAATCTCTGCTTTGATCTTGCCAACCCCGGCCTGTGCCCGAAGCCGATGGACTGTGTTGTGCAAAGTGTCCCAAAAGGCGATGGTTCTCAAGGTCACTTGGATCACTTCTGTGCTCTGGTTTCGGATGCGGATGGGCGTTCGAGCTTCAACCTTCTGCTTTCCGTATTGGCACCAAAGGTGGAATACGGCCTTGGTGGCCAACGCCACGCAGAATTGTGCCATGGCGACTTTCACTGTCACAATGGCCACAGTGGCTGGACTTGTGCTGGATGCTCCCGCGACTCCTGCAGCCGCACCCGTGCTCCCAGCAGCAGCACCCGCACCTCCAGCAGCAGCACCCGCACCCGCACTTGCAGCCCCAGCAACAGCATTGGCACTTCCAGCCGAAGCCACACTTGCACCAGCAGTGGCACTAACACTTCCAGCCACAGCACTGGTACTTGCAGCCCCAGCAACAGCCTTGGCACTTCCAGCCGAAGCCACACTTGCACCAGTGGCACCCACAGCACTGGTACTTGCAGCCCCAGCAACAGCATTGGCACTTCCAGCCGAAGTCACACTTGCACCAGCAGTGGCACTAACACTTCCAGCCACAGCATTGGTACTTGCAGCCCCAGCAACAGCATTGGCACTTCCAGCCGAAGCCACACTTGCACCAGCAGTGGCAGCAGCACCAATACCCGTACCTGCACTGCCTGCCGCTGCGCCCGTACTTGCACTAGCTGTGGCACTTCCAGCAGTTGCGGTGCCGTGATGTGTCATCTCAGATGCCATGTTAACTGCCGCTGTCTTTACCGCATCCTTTGCCGCATCTTCAAGGCCATTGATAACGTTCTCAGCCTGTTCACTCCAATCCTTCTCTTCAAAGCAACGCCTTGCAAAGTGCTCGCAGTTGTTCCAGAATGGATTGTATGATTTGTCTTGATCTACCATAGATCTGGCTCTCTCAAGTATTTCTCTACAGTGCTGGGGGGTTGATGCAACGGCCACCACACGCCAGCCAGGATAGCGCTGCCTGTACTGCTGGAGCGATTGCCGTCTCACTCGGCAAAGGCCCCATGTCCATGCCGAAGTGTAGTGATAAACTTCTTGCCGGCGGACATCTAGGATGGCATGATGATCTCCCAAGGAGAATGCGGAGGCAATGTGATGAACAACATTGGAAGTCTCAGCCATTTCCCTGCTCGGAGGGCTCTGCAATCACTCGCAGGGAATTCTAGCAGATGGTGTGGGCACTTGTGCCCGAATATCAGTTGGCCTTTGAGCCATAATGCAAGTAAACATGCAAGTGTGAAGGCTGCATGAACAATACACTTTCTCATGAGTCCACTCTACAAAAGTAAGTATAGAAACTTTTGCCATGCAAGGCCAAACGCTCATGACAAACGCAAGTGATCATGAATCATGGCCTCTTAAAACTCTTCCGAAGCTCCTGTACTCCCCTCCTAAACAATTCCTGCACCTCTTCTTTTACTCCCTGGCGACGCACAAATTCCGCGCGTTGTTGCGCCTCCTTCCGCGTCCTCCCAGGCTTTGTAGGCACACTCCGAGATGATTCGCTGCTGCGAGGCCACGTCGTGACCCAGCGACAGCTCCGCCTGCGTGGCAAACGCCACGTTGGAGTGAAGGGATTCGGCCAGTGCGGCAGGGGCGGGGGGGGCTGGGACCATGGAAAACACGTCACACAACGATGGGGGCAAACCTGACGCTGAGATGGTTTACCATGATTTACCTGGATGCTAAGTGGGCCATGGCCTTGTAGAACGGATAAACAATGACGTCACTGTGGGCACCTAACATCTATGACTTTGGTAAAGAGCCGTCTTTAAGGACACCCACAGAAGAAAACTGCGGTTTGTGGATTCCAGTCATTTGTCCCTCTTAATTGTACATGGGACAACTGGAGCAGTGTGCTCAAACTTCGCACTGCGCACAGCATACGGCATCATCAATGGATCACTGACACTTCAGGCCCTGTCAAATACATACCAATGTGAATGACCAACCCAATGGGTCGGTCATGCTATACCTTCTGGCCTCATTGTGAGCGTAGAAGCAGCCTTGAGGCAGCAACAGGGCAAATGCACTAAACCCAAGATGTTGGAGAAACCGATCCTAGTCCCAGTCCTTGCGCATGAGCAGGCAGCGCATACAAAAATCGCTTCATGTATGCCAACCCTTTTGGGAATTACAGTACTTGAGCACGTGTCTTTTTAGACTGTAGATGGTGAGAAACCGCCGAGATACCTGACGTGACCATCTTCCAAACAAATTCAAGCTTTTCATGGCACGTGTTCAACAGCATTCTCGTTTGCTTCCATCTTTTGGTTTCCTTTCAGGGAGTTCATACTTGTCACGTAAAGGGAAGCCTTGCACGTTTACGTGGAAAGATTCAATGGCCAATTCGTGTCAGTTTATGCAGGACAGTAGTCCCCCAACTGAAACCTTTCAGTGTCTGGTCGGTCAACATGATAGAACAATGAATCCCCCTTCACAAACACGATGACAACGCAACACAACAAACATCTGGTCAAACTTGTGACCTACTTGCAGGACTGAAATGGAACGAAGGACTTCTTGGAGTCGTTGGAGTCCTAGTTCTTTCATCGTTGCATCAAATTGGAGGCACACTGCGGAGATGACATCCGTGCCATTACGCCATCGCATCCGGGTGCCCCTGCGGTCTCCCCACTTGCAGCTGCCGCGGATGGCGAAGAAGCGACAAAGCTTCACCTGCGCATGGCGGGCACGGAACCGCCTTTCTTTATGCCTATAGTTGTTGGCGTGAGTTCATGAGATAAAGGAACATATGGGAAACACATCGATGGAAGACATGATGGCCAAGTCACATGGGCTGTTGGCAAGACATTTGCAGGTGTCCATTTATGGTGTGCGAGGACTTCTGACTTGGCGACCCTCGAAACCATTCCGCCATGAGTCTCACCCTCAAGCATGAAAGAATCTTATGTTGGTGGGAATGCACGCCTTCTAGCTGTCCAGGATGAGTCAGGGAAACAAAACTGAAGAACTCTCTGAAGAACAACGGCGGTTCAAGTGAGATGCATTGGCCGCAAAATATGTGCGACCTCTTAGGTTGGGTGCCATCCACTCTGATACCGATCAACATCACCATCCCTCACTGCCTTCTGCCGCACACCACCTGGACCTCGGTGCAAAAGAAAAGTGCCACTGGCCGCGGGTGGCCATGTCTTGGCTGGAAAGCTGTGACTCAGGGCTTGGCCTGAATGTGTGTTGTCCTGGGACGCATGAGGCTCTTGATCCCTCTTCCAGAGCCGAAAAGGATCATTTTATAGATCATGGTTCCTAGAATGGGAGTGTCGCTGGGACACCCCTGAGAAATTCCACTCACTAAGCAACTAATCCAAGAGGTCTACTGGCTATTGGTCGAACCATTTTGGTGGTCCTTCTGTTCAGAAGTTCAATCGCAGAAGGTTTTTCAGGGCCATCAAAGAGTGCTTGCTTCTATGCCTATACTTTGGTGATCTGATGCACTTGATTCACACTTTGCAGGCAGGTGCCGCAACCAAACACCAGACTCAGTCTTTCAAAGCAGCTTCCAATTCACCTACGATCTTAGAGATCCCCTGTGAGCGGCTGAAAAGCAACTCCAGCTCCATCACCAATGGTGAAACACCGGTGTTGTTTGTCTGTCACAGCCCTATTGGCCCAACCCACGCACGTCGTCCTGCGGTGGCTGTTTGGCCACCTTCAAGGTTCGGAGTTCCCAACGCCTCAGCGGCGGCTTCGGAAGCTGTGCCCATGCTGTGCTACAAACAGCACAGTCAGATTGCTCAAAGGTGCCTTCAACCAGCCTGTTTGCTTCACAACAGGTCTTGAACTCCCTCCCATGAGCTGAAATGAGTGAGAATGTGTATAACTGAATGTAACATGTTTTTTTCAACCAACCAGTGCAAGCTTCAACCATTGTGGCAGGCCAAGGCCGATGCTTCATCCGGCCGTTGTAGACATACCTGGAACACCGAAGAACCACGACGGTCCGCCGGATGGTGTGACATGTCATCACCTCTTGGGGATGTATTGATGCAGCATGATTTAATGCCCGAAGCTTCGTGGTGAATTCCAACCGAATCCACTGAATGTGACCTCACGACATGACGTTGTAGCCGATCATCTTGGCACGGAATGAAGCCCCTTGACCAATCAAGCACCTCCATGGAAGGTGTGGCAGTCAAATCGCGAGCCCACTGTCCCAAGCCACCGCCCTCTGCCGGACTCTGCCGATTGGGCCACCCGGACTTTGACGTCGTGGCCGGCGGCTCCTCACTGGGCGCTTTCGTGGCAACCGTCGTCTCCGTGGGCGCCTGACAGGATGCGGCAAACGGGAGAGACGGTGTGGGGAGCTGGGTGGGTGGGACAATGACGCAATAAAGGTGCCTGCAAGGCTTGGAGCATGTTGGGATGGGCATTGATGGCTAGGAAATCTCATATCTCTGTACAGGAAACCAAGTTGAAGTTTTGAATCAGAAGTGCCTTGCCACTATTCGGGAAACCATACCAATTTCGATTCCCTCAAAGGAACTGGGCCACCCTGCAGCCAACACGATCTGCGTTGAGCTCAAGCCATCTTCGCTAAGCATCCCACCGGTGCCTCAAACAGCAGGTGAACAGAACAGGGTGGTGTCTCATTGCGACTTCCTGCTGGCCAAAAGCAGCAGGTAATTCGTCCAAGGAAGGCGGCAATTTGTTCTTAGCATTTGCCATAGCTGCTCAACCCAAGCGCGGCCAATCCGATCATCCATCTTACCCTCTGAGGCTTCGAACTATTTCTGGAGACCTTTGACCTTAAACCATGCGGCAGTTTGAGCAACTTGGGAACAGCTTCCCAAGCCGAACAGCAGTGATAAACACACCTATTCAATAGCCTCTTTCCCTTCCCACAAGAGTGTCAAGATGTCTGGACTTTGCTATGGTTTCCCTTGCAATCTCCTTTCGTCGGAACGCCATCGGGGAACAATGGTTCAACAAGGCCCCAGCTCGGACGCCTTCTGCAGATCCGCCTCGAACTCGAAGTCGAAGCCATCTTCGGCCTCGTCCCGTGACTTACCACATGACCGGAGACCAACTCTTGAAGAGAGTAAGAACACAACAGCAACAGCTCACTTTTGAGCGCTGGGCAGAGTTTTTAGGGCCTGGCAGGCTGAGACGAAGCGGAAGAAGGTAGATCAGGAGCAGGAACTTTGATGAGGCTGATGTGGCAAGTGAACGAGTCAAGCAGGGCTTGACGGATTCAACCCATCATGGCACACACACACACACATCTGACAAGCAACTGGGCCCCAGCATCCTGCAGTAGTTATCAGTAGAATTTGCCTCTTCTTGATCAAGACACACAAAGCAAGAAAGCCCCGCCACGCCTGGCTGAACGGCCTATCAAGCAATCGATTGGCTACAAGCAGTTTGGCTACGCGACTACATGCCCTTGCATCAATTGGCTGCGATAATGCATGTTGTGACTTTATCTTGGTGTGGCAACCCTGTTGCAACTGTAACATTCACGCACATGAGCAGTCAATGATGCTCAGGCTGATGCAAACAAGATGTTCAAAAAAAGGACTTCTCACGAGATTCTGAGGAACCTTATCCCACCACGGCCTGCAGCCGCGGACGCTTCGCCGGCGCTTCAAACTCATCCTCACTGACCTGCACAACACTGCAGGTCAGAAGCGTCCGAGTCTGAATGACCTACAAGGCTACATACACTGCAGTTCAAAGCTCATGTCTTCGAAACAATGTGTTGGACCGCTCCAGAAGATTGACTTCACAGTTGGAAGGCAAATGTGTTCTTTGCAAAAGGATGGCACGTGTCAAGTTTGAGAGCACTGCCCAAGTTCACCAAGCCAACAAACCCTCATATACAAGCCGAAACCAAGATCTGCACAATCTCTTTGTCTACCAAGCTCCAAATTCTCGGTTTCTCATCATCTAAGGCAGCCTTTCGTGGCCTCAAAGCTGCACTCCTGGTATTAAATCATGACTCACCCCACAGCGACCCCTCGCCCGACCTCCAAGTCGGGTGCAAGATCTTTCTCCGGACCTTTCGTCGCTTCAGGGGTCAAGAAAGCTTGAAGAAACGCCATGCAGTGCAAGGTCCAAGTCCAAATGCTTAAGAAGACTAAGAAGGCGCTCTGTTGCTTCAACTATATGACTCACTCCTGGCATCTTTTTTGGTGAACCCAGCGGCCCCGGTCGCTCAGCAGCATCGGGCTCCCCGGACCCGAGTCATCCAGTCCGGGATCGTCCAAGTCATCGAAGTCCTCCTCCGCCCCGGCACCTGGGCGGCTGGAGCGGCGCCGTGGGTGGTGGAACCCCATGGTCGTAGGACGTCGTAGGACGTCGTAGGAACCACCCGACGTGAACACAGGATGAAGTCTGCGAAGGTGTTGAAGGCCAACAAATCCAAGAAAAACACTCCTGGGAATCTGGGAATGACCATGGGTTTGTAATGGAACGGGTCATCTTCTAGGGGCCAGTTTGTCATTGTAAAATGTTAGCCCGTATTTTCCCCAAGACTTGTCCTCGATGTTTGTTTCAGAAAGTGCAACCTGTTCTCCGCTCGTGGCAGGAAGCAATATGATCCCTTTGAAGCATGTGTCAAGCTGATCTGCTGAGCAACTAATAGCTTAATAGCACTCCTTGAAGACACATATACCTTTTGCAAGGGGCACTCTGTGTTTGACCCCGAGCATGCCTCCAAACTGAGTAAGTTCAAACCATTTGGACCCAGGAAGTTTCGCGTGCACACAAACACACAAACACAAAGCACTGAGCTTGTGCACGCAGCAACCTGGGCCGGAGTGAATGCTGTGGATTGGCCAATGTTTAGGCTTGGAGACCATGGGCAGAATTCCTAGACATCGGCCGCCACTACCAGAATTCATACAAGGCACACATGGCCGTTTCCAAAGTCAGGAGATGGCTATAAATTGGCGTTTGACAGAAGCTCCTGGCAAGCTACAAGCAACTGCATGTCTCCTGGGTGTCTTTGGTCCATGGGTTCGCCAGCAATGTCTTGAAAAGTGAGGCCCCAGCTCAAGTAGTGCTTGCACACCAGAAGGCGTGGTGGAGACGGAGAAGGGGCCTGATGCATGTTCCGCGGGCCACTGCTACACATCCAAAGAAAACAACGTGGATCGCTGGATATACCGTGCCGGGTCCCACCAAAAGAAAGACTCAAAGAATAGCAATCATTTGGGAAGTCTGAAACACTTCAAGGCCAAAGGCAAGAACTTGGTGCAACCTGATGCAACATGAGTCAATGTGGCCCATCCCAACAGGTATCGGTGCAGGTCAATTTTCTTGGCATCTCTCGAACTGCAGTGTTAGAGCATCCTCCTTCAGGTACTTATTTTCCAACAGTACCATGTCAGGATTCATACCAGCGTTTTCAGGATTCATACGAGCATTTTGAGTACCAGTGTGCAACAAATCCTTTAAGGGATGCAAGTACCTTTTGCATGTTTCAACACGTGGCGGCACAACAGAACAGAATGACTAAAGAACCCAAAACAATATACAACCGCTTGTCGGGGGGATCCAGTTCGTGTCTATCGCACTGATGAACAAAGCTCAAGACACCTCGGGTCTTCCCAAACGAACACGGCGGCACCATGGCCTTCATGCTCGATTTCAGGAGGAGGTGCCGCCTGACCGTTGGTAGACTCGGTACAACGTTGGGAACCGGCTGTTCCTCAACACGCGGTAAAAGAAGCATCCCCTACCCTACAGCCATAGCGACTCACACCGCATCATTGCTTTCCACAAATGCTTAAATCCACCCCAAATATGATAGACATTGGGAGCCACACTGACTTACCAACAAAAGAAGTGGAAACCACCCTGGGTCTCTAAAGAGAAAGCCAGGTGTCAGTGTCCACTCATAACGAGTCAAAGGGTAGTCCCTGTCCCTTTTCTCCCAGCGGCCAATCCTTCAACCCCGTTTCACTCCCCGTTTCCACCTGGGCAGAGCTGGAGCTCTGCTTTCGCCAGGGTGGTGTGGGTGGCTTCCTCGGAAGTGGCTTCCACTTCGGGAGAAGCGTCCATCCCTGAACACGTTGAAAAAGCTACCTGGAATATGACCCTGTTTCAGGAAGGAACGACGAATCGAAAGGGCAATTACATGTTGCACTCCCTTTCTTTTCGCGTTTCCCTTGTGCAACGCACAAACAACAGAAACACGTCTGCCGCATAGATGTGAGTTGATGCAAAGGCCATGTTCCGTGACATGCAAGTACAGTATGATGATGTAATTATTATGATGTTTAACACCCTGATACAGTATTTGTTTTGATCTCCGAACTTACCCAAAGAATAAAGTGAACGCCATTTCCCTTATGGAAACCCAAGGTTAGTGGGCCGTTCCACCCCAAGTTCCATCGGAACAACCTCCGCAAGTCTGCCTCACAATCGAACATCATCGCAACCTCAGCCCTTTTAAGGCAAAACATCGCTGAGGTTCCCAATTTTTTTACCGGGAGGTTTCCAACATATGCTGGTCTATGGATATCAATTCACGATCCAAGCGACACCGGCGGGGGGTCTCTCAGCTGGACGTCGGTTTTCAGATCACCTGCGGCGCATTCAGACGCCGACTCAGACGCGGGTGGAGGTGGGGATCTGTGTAGAACATCGTGATGCAAGATGACAAACATGTTACTTTCTTTGTTGGATCTATTTGACTCACAGATTCGCAAAGCTTGATGAATACTTCTTACGAATGGCCCTTCTCCAAACAAATTGTGATGTAATTTGGCCGAAAGTCACTGCTAACGCCATCGGTATAAAAGTTGCGTATAGCATATGCATGCTTATGTCCATACCTCGGAGATCTCAGGAGACCCCTCAACGCTTCCAAAAATGGGTCTCCCCACCATAGAGGTCCAAGTCGAAGTCGGCCATGGGGAGCGCAAGCGGCACTTGAGGGGGAGAGGGAAGTGTCGGGGGGAGGAGTCACTAGGAATGACAAAGCAACACATGGATCTGATTGTGGATCGACAGAAACATCTTCCTCAAGCTTCTTCGCGGAATCTATCTTCTGGACGGTATAGGGGTGTAGAATGCAAAGACTCCTGAATCTTACGCCTGTGTCAATGCTTTCCGGAAAGGTAGTTGTTGCCTGATTCAAACCACTTGAATGCTTGGCTTCATACCAAGTGTCAAAATTGAGGATGGCAGCCGGTTCTTGGAAACATGCTCGTTGCTCATGGGATTGCGCTTGGTTCAAGAACGGGTGAGCATACCTGCTTTGCCAACCACAATCTACCGGCGCAAATTACATACATCGCCTGTCCAACCACCTTATTTGATTGGGTGTCTAACGCCCTTGCCTCCTGGCAAGTGCAACAATACTTACAGTATTCTATGATCCGCGTGGCTCGTTGGCTTGGATGGCAGTCAGCAGCTAAAGAACTCACGCAGAAAGGTTGCGCGGGAGGAGAGCGGTAGTGGGTTCCTCATAGTATCGAAGATGCCAAGCTGTTGATTGTCAAATCACCTTGAATATCGCAGGATGTTCACGGTCATATATGGATGTATCCACATCTTGAATATATTTGTAGAATGTTCAGATGCCAAGCACCCTCCCTGATCCACAAGCAGCATCAGTGAGCAATCTTCGCACACGAAACTCAGCGGACTTGCATGAATACTTCCAGGGAGCCGCTCGCCGGACTTCCGAGCGGCCAGTGAGACAGGCTGACAGCCAAGCTGTGAAGATCCCGCTTGTGCCGATCGCCGAAGCAGAGGGCTAAGGGCTTAGCCATGGCTAAGAAGCCAAGCTAAGGGTAGAAGAGGCGATGCTTCTCCAACAAAACTGTTTGGCAAGTGTGCAATTTGACATCTTTGACACTTCTAGAGCCAGGTCTTGGCTGATCTAGACGTCCTTGTCTTGGGATCCTCCAACAGCTTCAGAAAGGCACAAATTAGCTCTCTCTGGGCGTCTCTGCAATGGTGGCCATCTCCCCCTCTTCAGCCTTGGATGGAAGCACCCAAAGGGACCAAACAGCTTTCCTCTTCCTCTTCCTCTTCCTCTCTCTCTTTCTCTCTCTCTCTCTCTTTCTCTCTCTCTCTCTCTTTCTCTCTCTCTCTCTCTGTCTGTCTCTCTCTCTCTCTCTCTCTGTCTGTCTCTGTCTCTGTTTCTGTCTGTGTCTTTCTTTTCTCTCTTTCGTTCATTTCTGTGTTTTCTCCATGCTGCAACCGCAACCGATTGGTGCAATTGACCATCCTGCCAGCACCATTTTGGTGGCTGAGTTCTTCCTTTCAAAAACCCCGTTCAACACCCACATCAATCCAACGGCAAACAGCTGGTTGGGGTGCTTGACGACAACTCTCCCCCAGAAACTGGCTATACATACTGTACCACGTCAAAAGCCACATAAGTTACAGAATACAGAACCCCTTCGGCCCACCCTCGGCCGCCAAGACCAAGCCACCCGCAAAGCCTCTGCCTCCGCCAAGCGTTGGCGTTCCGCTTCTTCGGCCGCCTCAAAAACATGTGTGGCCGCAACCTCTCACCCTCTCATCGCCACTGCCGCCGGGACCACAAGAATCATCTCCCATCATTGGGGCATATTGAGGCCATCATCTCAGAGCTTTCACCACATGTTCACCACATCCATCCAAAACCCAAAACCTCCTCCAAAGCGTTTCAGCCACCGGAGCTGCCGGCCTCAGCTGCCTTAATCTGCAGCACCACGCGCTCCTTGATCTTGCTGCGAGCTTCGGCGGACAAAGGAGCCGCTTCAGCCTTCAGGACTCGTCCGGGGCGCCGAGTCGCAGCCGCTCCAGCACCGGCGAGGAAGACTCGTTTCGGGTGTGGGGAACACACCGAGAAAGACTTGGATTGAGGTGATTGACACTGGAATGCTTCTCTTGGGTTCGAAGTGCTTTGGTGCTTGGTTCCGGATCCATTTTCAACACACTCCATCCCGCGTTCCATGGGATTCCAGCAATCAAGCATGCCCGTGGTTGCCCGGGCAGTCAGGTCATCGCTGTCACCGCCGGGCCCATTCTGGACGCGCTTCAGCCGAAGAACCGACGTCGATTGCTTCAAGCGCTCAGAGAGCCAAACCTTGGCTCCGAGTTCGTCGAACTAGCACGCGAGAGAGTTTCAGAAGAGTGAGGTCGAAAGAGCTACGGTCAAAGGGTTCGTTGCAGTTCTCCAACAGGTAAAAAGTAATAGGGAGATAGGGTTGTGCCTGAACGCCCTGGAAAAACCCTGGACTTCCACTAGATAATGACAAATACTAAGTATCCATGGCATTGCGTTCCGTGCCAAGAAGGTCTCTTTGCTGCAGCAATCTGCAACACAAATAGGGACTGCGTGCCATCTTGCCAGCAGTTAGCTTGACAATGTCAAATCATAGAAGTGTTGTTGAAGCTCACAGCGTGAGACGGCTTCTTGGATGCTTCATGTGGCTCTCCAATCAAGGCATGCATGTATTGGAACGTTTATTGCCTTACAAGCGTGCACTGGAGATGCATGTAAATCCCTGCAAAGCCCAAACATCTGCGACCGATTCGTTTTGAGGTGTCAAACGTCTTAGTGCGAACTCAATCCATAGGGTATTTATATGCGTTTATGTTAGCATGCCGTGTGTAATATGGCCAAAACGGGTGGCTGACCGGTTCACATGAATGTGACGTCACCCCCCGATGTCTCCACATGTTCGAAGTCTCATCTGCCGTCTCGGTGCTAAAGGATCAAATTTGGCTTCCTCGGGAGATTCGAGGATGGGCGGTGGAGGCACCTGCAGGGGCTTTCACCGTCGAAACCGTGTCGGAAAACGTGCGACGAAACACCGTGGCTGAATACACGGAGGACTGACAGGTCTTTGAGATCCTTAATGCGCGTTAGTTGGCCCTCCCATCCTTGGTTTGCTCAAGCAACCATGGAAGTGGGTGAAGTGCAACCTCTCCTTTGACCTTCATGTTCTTTGTTTGGGGCTGTCGCCCGGGGGGGCGCACACACCAAGCCAGGGAGAAGATAAGGCTCAAATGTTGGCTTAAGATGGGCACTATCAGCAACATCTCCGGCACCTGCAGCCACATCACATCACAAACAATTATATAAACTAGACTAAATTGGATTTATATAAATTACATATTATCGTATGCTTGAAGGATCGACCGACCTGTCTTCGTTGCGTTTGGGCTCGCTGTGTGCAACAATCAGTGATCTGCTTTGTTGCGCAAAGGCTTCCATTTGTTCATGAGGGGTTTGAGAAGAGTATTGGTGATAAGTGATATGTGGCAAACGGATCAAATCACTCTGCCATTGTGTTTTAGCCAGCAAGGCTAATTGTACTCCAGACAACTAAGACATAGACATACTGACATACCCCATCAAGACTTGTTGAGCATGCACTCCCCAGAAAACAACCTATAAAGAATCACAATCACTTTTGCATACGACCCACCTGACTTCGCTCTTGCCACTGACACTTCCCCAACTCATCCCCCTGCCCGCCTGCGCATCCGAAGAGTTGCTATAGCGCCGGATCACCGGGGGCGCGCTCATCGTGCCGTCGCGGACGTTGGTCGAGCCAGTGCCATCATTCAAGGAGCTGGTGGAGAGGCTGGCTGAAGCCGAACCTGGCAGGACAGAAGGCGGCTGCTTGGCTAAAGGTTCCCTTGATCGCTGCATCTGGGGGTCCATAGTATAGGTCCATATATAGGGGTCCAAAGGGGTCCATAGGGTGTCCTACATGTATGGCCGTTGATGAATAGAACTCCCTCCTACCAGTGTCAGAATCTTCTATATCTCCAGGCTTAGGGAGTTCTAAGCATCATCAACCAGCAACATGTGAGGTTCCCTACGGTCCCTACTTTGTATGGCTTCCAAATGTTTCCAGGGTTCCATTGACGTCCATACTCAGCATGACTGGAGGATACTGGACCAGGTCAGTATGTAGAGGGAACAAGCAACACAGGTTTGTCTGCTTAAAGCCACCAAGCAATCTCTTTTCCCAAAGGTAAAAACGTATTTTCACAAGAATGCAGTACGAGGAAATCAAGCTGCAATCATTCCCCCCTGATGCTAATTAGCTGCTAGCTTCAAGGGAAAGACTCCATGATTCTCACTCTCCCAACGGCACCCATGGACCCCCCTCTAACTCCCACAGCGTCACGATCATGCCGAGCGCCTCCGTTCAACGAAGGCTTCCTGGCCAGGTGCCCAGGAGACTCAAGAAGATTGATCCCAACCCACATGAGGGTACGTAGCTCTGTATGTGTATCAGTTGCCCACCTTTAGTTGTGGAAGACCTTATTTTGGAGAACATTCATCGTGAGCCGGGACGGCAATGCCAGCACGCACATCGTACTATTCCAAGAAAAATCTAGCTTTGAGTTCCATTCAATCACAGACTTGCAAAACTTTGAGTTTCCTTGAAGGTTCAGCTGCTACGAAGTCCTGGACTCGTGCACACACACAGTCCCGCAGCCTGCTGCCGCCAGTGTTCTGGCGCCTGACCTCCATGCTGTCCTGACAACCCAAAAAGCATTCGAACAATCTGGAGAAACATCATCCAAAATCCAACAGAGTCAGTGACTCTGACCTTGTTGCTCCAGGTGTTCCAACCACTTTTTGCTATCTCAACCACTTGCAAACTCTGTCACTGTGGCTCCAAACCCTCCCAGCCACCGGCTCTCGTGCCCAGCCTCCGGCTCCTCATGCCGCTTTTCGCGCGGCGGCCGAACGGCCGAACGCTCCTCAGGCTCCTTGCGGAGCACTCGCTGGAGCTCGCCGCTGGCGTGCACTTGGTGCCTGGGCCCAGCTGCTCGTGCACGGTTCACCCGCGGATTGGGTCGATTTGGGGTCAAAAGGTGTTCAAGCTCTCAAGGCCTTGAAGTCATCTACAATGGCCGGGAATGCATATATACTATACTCAATAGAAACCATGTGTTGGAAAATATGTTTCAAGAAATGCATGTGAAAGATCTGGAGATGGGATCTTGGGCCGCTTGGGGAGTCGACTTTGTTCGTCTCTTTCCCGACTGGCCGGGTGGTGTAGATCAGCGGACTCGCCAAGCGGCAGCAAGTCTTCGATCGCCAAGCCGAGATTCGGAAGCCTGAGTGAGCGAGCGAGGCCTTGAGGCACTCAATCACTTGGTTTCAGGGAACAGCTGCAGGAAATAATGGTTTTTCGCCCCCCAAAACAATGGATTTAATAACCAAGTCTAGGAGGTATGAGGTACCCAACATATCCCCACATGAATTGGCCACTAGAGACTGCTGCTCTTGGATATAAAAGTGATATAAACAGATCCACATGCTATGCAAAAGGGCATAGCCATAGTCACTTGTTTAGTGCAGGGTTGCTTGAATCTCCACTTGGAGTCCAATCGATCTTCTTCATTGCTGTGCCAGGCACGCAGGGTACTTTCTGTCTAGTTCTCCCAGTCGGAAACCACCGGTGCCCCCCACTTGAAGTGCAATTTAGTGGGATGGTTCTCCTGCAGTGCATCGGGTGGAGGATCGTCGCAGAAAAATGCCGCCAGGGCACACTGTCTGGTGCAAGTAACCCCTCACATCCTGCAAGGTGGCAGCAAGACGAATCCCAACAAAGGATAACAAAGGCAAACATCCAACAAGCAATAGGTTTGAGAGAAGGTATCAGGTGGTGAGTGAGTGAGTCACTAGAATCCCGATCCTGGTCACATCTGAAAACCTTGAGTAGCATTTCCTGCCGATACGGCCGCAGCATCACCACAACTACAGTTGCAATCTTTGGTAGGTATCTGGACATTCTCTGACCTCTGTTAAACATTCACAATCAAGAACAACAACTACAACAACCACAACAACAACAACTACTACTACTACTCCTCCTGCTCCTGCTCCTACTCCTACTTTCGAAGCTGCAGTAGCTCGGCCTCATAGGGCGAGATGGCCTCGCAGAGCTGCTCCGCGAGGGCCTCTCCGGCCGTCATCCTCCCGTCTCCTGCAGGGGCGGAGGGGAACGAGTGAGCGTCACAAAAGCACAGTAAAGACTTGTGTCTCAGCAACCAAAGGAGGTTTTGAAGTGTGAGGTGCTGGGGGTCTCTACAATCTCATGTCGTTCTGTGAAGGAACGAACATGTTGAAGAAGACATGGGAAAGGAGAGTAGCCATACAGCTCCAGTACAAATCTGGCGATTGGTTCCAAAACGGTGCAGAAAACGTGTTCATCAACAAAGTTGCGCATGAGGTGGAAAACACTATGAGGTGGGAAACTATACTTTCCAAAAGATTCCGATTCCGAACGTTTTTCAAGTGCCTGTGGTGTTTGATTTCGTCTGGTATAAACAGGGCAAACGCTTCACCCGCACCATCCAACCTTCCAAGGGGGTGGCGAGCCGTCCCCGAGTCGTCTCGAGCCAATGGCGATGCGGCCAGACACAACACGTCTGGGACTGCCGGACCCCCCTGGCACCACCCACCCCAACTGATCGGCATATATTCCATACATGGAGCGTGGACAGGCTTTAACATGGAACCTGAAAACCGCGTCGGGTTGTAGAACATCGTCTTCCAGTCTGGTCCCTCGCCGGGTTCCGGTCTCGGAACCCGGGTGTAGTGTTGCGAAGCCGGGACATTTCTCAGACTCTCTGTGCACCTCATGGCTGCCATGCCTTCAGGAGTAAAACAAAAGCAACCTCCTTATGTCGTAAATGCTTGTAGTATCTTAAAAATACCAATGAATTTGGGGATAAGGGATGTTGTGCCTCCAAGATCCTCCAAGACCAAACACCAGTCTGCGTTCAAACACCAGGCTGGTAACAAGTTGGGCCTGGAGAGCACTTCCATGGTCCTGGAGTTTTATGGCCCTTGATCCTCTAACATCCTCAAACAGTGACACAACCCAAAACATGTATTTAAAAATACATATATTTAACAATATATATATATATAACAGGTACGCGCCTATTTTGTTTAACGGTATATACGTTATTTGAGTTGGCATGGTCCGAGAAGCGGCATCACTTTTCCCATCGCCAGCGGCTTTGGCGAAAGCATGAGAAAGCGACGAACGCCTGCAAAGGCCGTTGCAGGGGAGGGATGGGGCCAACACTTACATGAAACATCTGAAGAGTTCCGCAAATTCAAGTCCAACAGCATCGCTGCTGCACCGACAAGTCTTGTGGTCACAGTGGTCTATTCAAAGTTCGGGACATGTCCTCATGATGTTCTTGGCCATGATGTGTTGTAATGATCTTATTCTTCTTGTGAATCCTTCCATCTCAATCTCCCTCTCACAGCCCCAGCGGCCCCAGCTATGGAGCTTCGTGCTCGAACATCAAACAGCAACCAGTGGAGGTAGTGGGAGGGTGTTGCACTGTGGTACGTTCTGAGAGGCCAGCAGATTGTCTTCAACGACAGGTCTTTCACCAACCCATCCCACACCTTGTCCTGGGGCGCTCACCTTTCAAACCCAGCAACTCACTAAAAGGTTGGTCCCTTTTGCTGGGACGGACGGGCTGAGTGTGCCCTGTCAGGAAAGGATCCATGTGAAGCTGCTTCCAATCCTCCAACCTCGCTTTTGGGTCCTCCAACCGCGCCGTCCCTATTGGTCAACGACCCCATCCGTCCGTTCCTTCCGCCCCTGAGACCTCCTCGACCGCGCCCTACTTACTGGGCTTCACCTCAAAAGCTGAGACCCAAGGACAGCCCCAAGGCGCCATGGACGAGCATCAGAACCACAATAAAGCTACCTGCCACAGGGAACGGGTCGGGGTCGCGGTCGGGGTCGCGGTCGGGGTTCGCGGTTGGGGTTCGCGAAGGGAAGGGAAGGTCCGGGGTCGGGAAGGGAAACGGGCCACCGCGGCACGGCTTTGGGGGAGAGTTCCCTGTTGTTAGAGCGGGTGGAGGACTGCCGGGGCTGAGGATGTCGGCCAAACTTGGGGGTGGCCTGGAAAGAGAACACAGTGAGACAGAGTGGCGACACATCAGAACGACTCGCCAGAACCCAATGGCAGCTCAAATCTTCCCGAACTTTCTGGTGGGGAATCGGCGGAACAGTCTTGGCTGTCTTTGGCCGCAAGAACTTTCGACCCAGATCTCCGCCTTTCCATGGGGGAGATATCTATCCTATAGCACCTCGCAGTTGGCAGCGGTTTTTCACAGCTTTTCACCGCAACCCAGCAGTCTTCCTTGATTGAACTCCCTCCGACCGGGATCTGCTCGGCCGCGGTTCTCAACATAAAGTTCTCGAGGATGATGCCCTCGTACGGCGCTCTGAAATTCGTGCCCGCTCGGCACGAATTGAAATCAGGTGAAGATGACAACCCGGACCTTGCAATTTCTTTGGGCCTTCGAATCAGCCGCTACATGATCATCTTGCTGCAAGGGTATGTTGTGCTAACTCTCATGCTGCGAGCAACGAGCACGAACTTGGTCCAAAGCTCAGCCCCCTATTACCGGACCTGGGGCTGGCCATTCCAAATGGCCACAGGGAAAATGCGGCCCTCAAAAAGGGATGTTCTACTTTTGTAGAAAAAGGGTAGGCCGCCGACGTTGAAGTTCAAACAAGCTGACCTTGAGGCCTGCTCTCCGAAACCTGTACAGCTGGCGATTTTCCTGGGTGGGGGAGTACGGTCATCTTCTCGAAGCACGAAACGGGTCTGAGTGCGCTTCACATGTTTGGAATCGTCTTGAAATAGACCCTCCCACCCAAAAGCGCTGACTGGTGCAGCAAGTTTCTCCTTGGTCAGGTGATGCACACCCAGCACATTGTGCATGGAACTGAGGTCCTTCGAAGCTGGTGTTTCTGAAAGGCTTGAAACGGGAAACACCTGGAAGGCCAGGTCAAGTCCTGGAACTTTAAACAATATATAGACAATACTATAGAAAACACTATTTTTGTTCTTTGTCTTATTGTTTGATTTTAGTGTCCTGTGGATTGTTCTTTGATAGTTGTTTTCTTGGAACCTGCTTTTCTTTTTATGTCCCTCTCTGTTCATCATGTGATCTTGATTTCTCTCTCGTTCTCTCTCTCTCTCTCTCTTTCTCCCTCCACCCCCTCTGACGATGTTTAAGCACTGCTCCAGTGATACCAAAGTGGGCAAGACTTCCAAAGAATCTCTGGCAACGGCCGGAAAAGCTCGTTTTCACAAAGCATGTCTCTGGGAAGAGTCAGGTGTCACACACCAACAAAAAACATGTCAGGCACACTTATAACCCTCCCAGTGATGTCCATTCACGGTTCTTAAAAGTGACCTTTACATACCCTCCCCTTGAGGTCGCTGGTCTTTAAAGGAAGAAAGGCCACTCGACGTGTGGTCCTCGAGTCATCAGGCATGTCTGATTGGACCCACTGGCCACAACGAATGCTCCCTGGTTGATCTGAGATGATAAACATTTGCCAACAGTGGTTCCAACATGTTCCAAACCATAGACACATAGGGGATCAAAAGTTTGACTCCTGTCATGTCCTATTCATGCCCTTCCCATGACACGCCTGTGGCCGTCGTGGCCGTCGTTGGCCCTTTCAGTCGAACCCGAACGTCCTCCCCGGCGCTTCGCCGTCAAACACCCGAGCTATCGGGTGGTTTCAGGAAGATCGTTCCTGGCGGAGGGTATCGAAAGAGATCGAACAGGTGGTTGCTGGTCCGCGAGGAAACAGTGATCCCCATCGGATGGATCCAAACTGCTCTCAGGTCAAGGTTTTCTCTGCACAAAGCCAAGTACTAGACCCTATGCCGCGTTTAGACTCAATCACTCTGCTGGGGAATGCACTGATTTTCCAGGGCACAACTAACTGATGGACTGAACTGAGTGAACAATGAGATCTGGTGGTTGCTAACGATATTTATATAGGTGATGAGGAGCTAAATGGGTCACGCTGCTTGTTTGGAAGAATGTGCCGAGAACACACTGCTATCGCTGCAGCCTCTGAAGCCGATCGCTGCAGCCCATGACCCATGAGTGATGAATCTGTGGTGCCGAAACAAAGCATGAACAACACAACTCATGTGTTGATTTTCCTGGTGATCCCAGAGTCTGAAAAGGAAGAGCCAACAGTATGGCCCAACAAAACCACCTGGAAAGTCTAGACACGCACTTAGACACGCACCTGTCGTGGTTTGTGGTCTCGTCTTCACCTGTCGTCCGGGACGACATGCGCAAACGCCAAGAGTCCATGACCGCCGTCGGAAGTCTTGAAGCTCCCGTCCTGGCCATCTGACCACAGCTGGCCAGGGGGAGAGGCGGGAGGAACAAATGAAGCAGGATGTCATAGACTTGGGGCGGAGAATGCACGTAGGCCGTGTTGACTGACTTGAGCTTTGTGGAACACATGGGTGGGAAACTCAAACCAGCTGACTCATTCGTACCTTCTCGTTCATACTTACTTTGTGTTTCGTGACCCTCTGTATTGCTTGGCGGCTCCTTTTCCTCTGTCCGCTTGGCTCCACTGTTGTTCAAGTTCAAGGGTCTGTTTATATACAGTAATTTGGCAATTCAGTCTTATGGCCGCTGCTGGCTTTTGCACAAGCCAACGGGTACAGTGACCTCTGTAGGTTCCTGCATGTTTCTGTCCTTCCTGTCAAGGGTTGGAGAGTCCTGATCCTGTCCAATCGTCGGGCGTCTTTTGCAGAAACACATGGACAACGAAAGCTGCAAAGGCCCCCAAGGTGGTTCATCAATCGGCTTTCCATTGCATGTCCAAGCGGCCAAATGTGTGGGCTTGCCCAGCTTCGCGTTCACTTTGATGGTGCCCCAGGAGTATGTTTCCTCACCACAGCACATGGGAGATACGGACCAAGCGCTTGCCCACTGACTAAGTCAATTTTTCAGGCACTGGTGACCAGTTGATATGATATCCTTCTCATTCCACCAGTGGATGGTGATCAAAGCGTCCAACCGTCCAACAACAACCTCCACTTCAACTTCTTTCACCGTTTGGAACTGAATCAACTTCTCCCATTGTCTACCAGGTCCACCAGGCCCCCCCTCTCCACGGAAGATCTCCAGGCGTCGGTCCACTGCACATCTGGTAGCTTGAAACGACCGGCCAACGTGCTATTGAAGTTCCCGGAGCCACAAACGCACCTGACATGGCCGTTTCAAACCCTTAACGCCGTAAGCGGCGTTACGGCGTTAGGGAGGAGCTGTGGTCCACGCCGTCCACGGCACGATGCTGGAGTCACGATGGCTGGTGACTTCCAAGGAATTGTGTGATAGGCGGGGTGTTGGTCCTAAGGTCCTAGGTGAGTCTTTGGGGACACCAGGACGCACACCTTCAACTAATCATAGTCAGATGTGAAAAGCACACCATTCTCCGCTTGGGGTGAATCATCTACCAAACCTCAAGAGTCCAGTGTCTGGGCGGGACGGGACTGCCGCGCTGTGCTCTCAAAATCCCATTCTCTTTCTTTTTGCCAAATGAGTTCAATGTTCAAAAAACATCCTGCACTACCATGGAAAACTTGGCTGCCAGCAATGCTCATCCCAGAGCCTTTCCCCAACCAACGAATAGGATCGTCCCGTGCCAAGCGGCCCATCTCTTGTGAAGATTAAATGCCGCTCCTCGTTTCGAGTGTGCTGTGATTTGCCCTCCACCAAAGTGGCAAACCACAAACCGCTATAGATGGGCGCTTGGTCCCGTTGCTGCATCATCTCCACACTTCCTCAGCAGTCTCCAGGCTCAAACCCGCAGTGCACATCGGGCAACCTTGCTCCCAGTGGGACTGTTGCTGGGAGCGCAGGCAGTACGTCCTTTCCCTAAATGTTGGGATGGCCCGGCCCCGCGAAGGAGGCCTGTTCAAAAAAACGATGACTTCCACATGCTCGGCTTTCCCCTTCTTGTCCAATTGGCTCTACCTGACCTGCCCTTACTCTCCACTCGATTCCCGCCCAGAACATGTTCGGTGAGGGGCCACCAGGCTTGAAGCAAGTCATTCGTCGAGAACGCTGAACAATCAAGACAGCAACATCATTGAGAACAACGCCCTACCCTGCTGGGCGTGCCCAAATGTGAGGGTCTTAAGAATGAAAAGGCAACCCTGCTGTGTAGAAAGCCATAGATGTCATCGTCTTTCCACAGTAACCCTCAAAACTTAATTGATTACAGTAATTTTGCTGTCTTGAGTCAACATGTGCTGGCCATACACTTGAATCCAGTAGAAACTCAACCACCCTGAGTCTTTTGTGCTTTTCCATACTTTCTCTGAGAATCGGATTGAGGACTGCGACTGCCTCCGGCGCGCTTCCTCCGCTTCAGCTTGGGCCGCTGCTGCTTCCTCCTCCTTGCAGTGTGCTAAGCATATGGGAGAAGAGATTCCCCCCTGTGGACTGTGGACCTAGCCATTTGGGAACTCTATTGCTCCGGACCCCACACAGTGCTCATATGATCTCATCTTTACTAAGTAGTACAGATTGAAGAATCTTCTGGCTTCTTCCCCAAAATCACATCCAATCACCCAACGACCTGCTTCATGCTCGGCATGCTCCGCATGTTCCGCCACCGCACCTCCTTCTTGCTGGGTGTGGCACTCGCGGACTTCCGACGGGTCAGGTGCGGATCGCTGGCCGCCGATTTGGGCCCCATGGAGGCCGTGGTGGACTGCCTCGCGGCGGATGGCTGGAGGAGATGGAGAAGCCGATGGGTGATGGATGCTGATAGCAAATCCCAACTTCACACCAAAAATCTGGAAGATTGCCCACATCTCCATTGGATCAAGGGAAAAGTCCCGACTCCAATCCAACTCACCAACTCCTCCATCCCATCTCTGCTCAAATGTGGCCCTGTCCCCGGCGGTGGCGCCTGCGTGCGCTCTTCTTGGGCGTGGCTTTCGGCGCAGCCTCTCCCAGGTTCCCCTGCGTGGAGTTCCTCCGGGCGCCCTTCTTCGGGGTAGCCGCCCGCGCAAGGTCACTGCTCCTGGGAGAGGCGCATCTCCAGTGGGTGATCCCGGAATTATCTTTTTTGGAAGGCCTAAGGGTTTTGAGCATGATGGTTTAGTGGTCTCGTCTAATTCATGGAATTTCGGTCACAGTGCAACCCCTTTGGTTCATGACCCCTCATTGAAATAATTTCAGGAGGTTTTTGGGACTTGCCTCTGTGGTGCAAATACTAGAAGCTGGTTCAAGAACAGTCGCCTGGGGTGCGTGAACTACCATTGATTCACCGGGTGCGTCCCATGGTACAACCACGGCATAGCCCCCGCTGTGTGACCGAAACCACATGTGACCGATTTTCTCGATCGCAGAAGGGGCGATGCGTACAAATGGTCTTCGTTCGGTGGGCCCGCGGGTCCTTACAACAATCTGAGACTCATGTCAGTCGTCCAACAGGCACCGTGATAAACACTGATTGGAACACCTCTCGAGCCCATTTCTCACAAGCAAAACCCACAAGGATAATATGTTGTACACAGATCTTGGTTGATGCTCCCCGTAGAGAGGCCATCCGAGGATGTTTTCAAGTACTGAAGTGGTTGAGTGGTTGTCTGGGCGTTGCGCCCGCAACAGTCAGCGAGCAAAGCACCTGGGAGCCCACACAACCTGCAACGTATTTCACGATTTTTGAGTATATCATTTAGCCTAAGGCCTAAGATATTGTGTGGAAAACTCCCTGGAAAACATCTACACCGGCCCTGCTGGGCTGTGACATGTTGTGACCAACAGCCTCGTTCTCTTTACTTTGTGCGGTAGCTGAGGCACGGGGTCTCTGCAATCGCAGGCACTGACATCCTCAGTGGATACCCGAGCTCAACGACGTGGGGGAGCAGGGCTGGTTTGGCCATGTGAGCCGCCATGGAAGTGGAACATAGCCCCCCAAAGCATTCCAAGACTCCGAACGCTTTATCCAACATGATCCAACAGGTATTGAAGCTTTACTTCTTGACCGTTTGCAAGTACATTCACATTCATTCCAGTAGCAATAGGGAGTGGACCATGGAACATGCTTGGACATGCGTGGACTATCCCAGTGCCGATCTGTGCCTCTTAACGAACATCTGGGATCGTTGGGCCCGTACACCCCGCTGAAGCAAGCAAGTCGCCGTCGGTTCCTTAGCTTACCCAGAAGGTCGGGTCGGTGCAAATCACAAGCAGGAGGATTCCATGTCCGGACAGGCTTGAAAAAGCCTGTCCGTAGAAAGGCCACATCTGAATCTTACAGGAATCAAGACTCAGCACCCCTCACTGAAATAATAATTAAGTGATATCCAACTCCATGTTTCAAACGAGTTGGTCTTCCAAACAGTTCTGCTCACTGTCGGGCATACGGGGAACATGGCGGACGTGAATTCAGCACCATTCTTGCTGAAACGGCAACACCCCAAGTTATGGATCTCTCGTCCAGACCGACCGCCATGGCCCTCTACAAGGCGTTGCCTCTGCGTGTCTCATGGTCACCAAGGTGCGTGACTTGGACATGTGACACACATCGATGTCACGCTGATCTATTGGCCGATGCTGTGTGGCGGCCGCGACCCAAACCCCCGGTTAGGTGTCACTCACTGCAGGCAGTTACACCTAACGGGTGGAGGGAAGGGGTGCGAGGTTCCGGCCGTGATGACTAGTGGAAGCTCACGCTTGGTGGCGCAGGCTCGCCCGGTCTGCAATGGAAATGATCCGCTCCGCTTGATCATTTCATACTTTCACATCAACTCGTGAAAAGCTGTGTCCCTTTCTCAGTCTTTCTCCGTCCTTCCCTCTCTCGCCCTTCATGCGTTCAGTGACTGTCTAGAGTCTAAAGTCTAAACATTTCCGATGTTTCCGCATTGATTGTTCACCCCGTCCCGGGTCTTTCCACAAACATACACTCCGAAGGCACTCTTGAATCACCACTTTTCAAAGTTAAAAAATGCACTCCTTGGAACAATCATGGAAGTGGACAAATGGCCCCTTGGATGAGCATCTTCCTCTACAAACAGGTTGTTTTCCACTCCCGTGTTTATTTCAGGAAGTGTATCTATATGAAGATAGCTTGTACACATCAAGATGGTCTGTTCTTGCGATGCTTTCTTTGCTGACACCTCCACCTCCCACAAAAGGCTGTCTCAGTGTTCTGTATGAAACGTCACGCCAGGCAGCAGATTCGGCTCGCTCTGTGTCTTCGCAGGCCCGGAGGACTGCATGGAGCCCTGTGTGGACATTCTTCGCGCCTTCGGCTTGGGCGCGGGCTTCGGCAACGGACTCTGGTCCGGACTCTCCTCAGCGCGGTGGAAAGAAAGCGGGCGGGCCTCGTAGAGGGTCTGAAAAACCCAGTGGGGAATGGGTGGGGAAGGAGATGTAGCTCAGCAGCGACAGGTAGGGAAACCGTCAAAAATGATCAACAAGTGCGGCGAAGCTCAAGAATAGCTCGAGGCCTGCTCTGATTGCAGCAAACACTTTTTAGAATAGATCTTGTCACCCATGCATGCACACTGATTGACCAAAGTGCGTCGTGGGAGAGCCATGGAACCATCTCAAGGCTCAAGTGGAGTGATAAAATCATTAGCCACTACAGTGCGCGCATCACACATATGACGACTCACATTAGCTCCATCTCTACTACCCAGGAGAGGAAATGCTCCGTTCATCTTGAACTTCAGCTCACCAGCGCGGTCATGATGTGCGCGGTCCAAAGCACGGTGTGCGGTGACGATCTCATCGATGCTTGGGTGGAAAGACGCCTGAAGCCGAGCGAAGGGGGCCGGCCACCGGGGGAATCGGTGTCTGGACCCTCCCAGGGACCAACACCATTTCTGCAAGGAATGACCAGGAATCAGTTCAATACATATATCTTATGTGTGCAACATGCATTAATATATATATATATATCAATACTGTCATATAAATGGATGCACATGTCCAACACGGATTGTTCAGGTAAGTTCATGATAGTCATCTGATCCTCATTTTCGTTGTGTTGGATGTGGTGTGCCCGAGGCTTCGAAGGGCTTCCAGGAAGTCCACTGAGTCCATGTCCACTGCCAACCCAAAACCAACGGCAAAATGACCCAAGACCTGGGTCTGCGTGCTCAAATTCCACATGCACTTATGGCAAACCTCTATCCACTGCAGGTCTGGCTTTAGCAGTGAAGGGAGGGCGCACACTGATACAGGCGTGTAGAAAATGGCCCCATCTGCATGGGAATTCTTCTTGTTCAATTTCGTCGGCCTGGCACTATGTTTCGCTATGCTTCCTACGAAACTTCCTACTGCACCCCTACTTCACTGCGGTTTCCCACCTATCTCGCCCGTCTCACATGCAGCCTCGTCTGGATGGAAGAGACTGATCCCTGGCTGGACAGTTGAGTTGACTTCATCGAAGTCTGACTGGACAAATTCCTCGATTGCTGCCTCGAGATGTCCTGAGCATCGGGGCCCACCACAATGGGAGATCTTGCAGGGGTGGGTCGTCAAGATTGTAGAAACGCCATCACGTCAAATTCACCATCTCTGGATCCAATTTGGGCCGATCAGGGAGATGGCCCTGCTTGCCAAAGGCAGCTTGAGTCGCTCCACTCCGATTCGGCTCCTCCTCCCCATGCCACTCATGCCGGGCATCGATGGGTGACACGTCCGAGATCTCGTCAGGATCCAAATCCGTCGACTGCCGCCGCACCGTCGGAGGTCCGCGCAGGTCGGAGGTCCGGCGCCGCCGCGGCGGGCTGGAGGACGCGGAGGCCCGGCGGGGCTTCCCAGCGGGCTTCTTGGTGTCCACCTGCGGCGAGGGAAAGTGATACTATGATAGCAGCTGAACTATATAAGGCTTTCAACTGCAAGGGATCGGGGGATCGTAAAGAAATGGTTTGCATCCGAAAGAACAAGATCCTCAAAGACTTGATTTGCTTTGGGATGTTTGCCTCCAGCGGTATTCATTCAGACTGAAATACCGTGAAGTACCCATCATTTAGGATGTATTGCTTTGCTTGGCTCATGTTGGCGTGGGACACAGAAATTATCGCACACACATTCATTCGCACACTAAGAAGCTATCATCCCGAATCAATAATAATACATTTCCAAGAGTACTGTCCTGTGTTCTGTTCTGGATCTTGGGTGCACCTCTCAGTTTCACAGTGATATTCAGTGTTGTGTGAACTTGGCTCGATCAACTTGTAGAGCGGTGCATGTGGATTGTGGAACTCAAGAACTTTGCTAATTCTGCAAGCTTCCAGTATTCCAGTCTATCTTCCACCCGCCCTTTTCAGCCACATCGCTACCCCAAACGGCTCCACCACGGCTCCCCCTCCGAACCTCCGAAACAGCCTCGGTCTTCCTCCACTTCCCGACCCACCCCACTGCCCCTCAGGCCGGAACCGAACCGTGACCTGGTCCGGCACCCCGCCTGCGGGGAGGTCACCGATCCTGGCAGCTCCACGTCTGGAAGCTCCACTTCCGAGTCATCGGAGGGGGGGTTGGGATCCACCAAGGGCGGAGGAACCACCATCTCCACGCCTCGGCGGGCGGCGTAAGAGCCACATGGGTGGGAGACAGGATGAGACAGGGGGGGGGTGGACGACAGGCCAAGGAGGAGATCTCTGGAAGGCTGATGAAGGCTGATGGTCTGAGTGCTGAGGGTGCTGACTCCATGTCAAATTCATGCAAGAACCAGTCTTCTTGGAATTGCTTCATGACAATATATATATATATTACAAGTAGTTCCCGGGCAAGCCGGCGGCGGAAGTTTCATATAAGAAGAAAATGACCTATAGGAGTGTCCACGTTCTCTACAACATGCGCGTCCTCCAGTCAAACGCACGCGCTCCGGACTTTTGACCCACGGGATTCCACGTGTGTAAGGTGTGTGCCCCCTGCAGGATCAGCAGCTCACAACAGCGTACTGGGTTGTATCTTTGCCACGACAAAAGGGGTGTATGACGAGTGGTGTATGTTGAGTGGTGTATGATGAGTGGTGTATGACGAGTGGTGTATGATGAGTGGTGTATGCTGAGTGGTGTATGATGAGTGGTGTATTGACCAGCAGTTGAATGTCCTGTCCGGCATAAATGCAACCAAATACTATCAGTATGAACTGTGCCAAACCTGCACGCCGCGAGAGATGACTCAGCAGCGAGAGATAACTGAGTCGCGAGAGATGACTCAGCCGCGAGAGATGGCTATAGCGAGAGCTGACTCAGCAGCGAGAGATGAATGAGCAGCGAGAGATGACTCACAGCAGCGAGAGCTGACTCAGCAGCGAGAGATGACTCCTCCGCGTACTACACTTGTACTACAAAGTGGCCAGTTCTCAGCTTCCAGCTCCACAGGTTGTTCCGCGTGCTAAAGTTGTACTAGAAAGTCGCCAGTCAGTTTTCATCTTCCAGCTCCCCAGATGCTCCGCGTACTGCAGTTGTACTACACAGTCGCCAGTTCTCAGCTTCTAGCTGCACAGATTGCTCCGCGTACTAAAGTTGTACTACAAAGTCGCCAGTTCT